AAAGTTACTTAACCTCACATCTCAAAAACTTTTGTGTCAGTTGTTTTGAGCACCATATATGTCTTGTAAGCTAACTTTGATAACCTTTGAAAGTTTTATGAGGACAACTTTGCGACAGCTCAGTTTTTAGCTCAGTAAAGACAATTTTAACTAAGAAATATGCCAAAAACTGCCCAAACTGTATATTTTTTGCTGAGGCATTGTAGTCACGATATGAAAGAAATAAGCATTCAGATGAACCTTAAAGGAGAATGGTCTCAAAAGGTAGTGTGAGTTCCCAAGAAATACCGACTTCATTCCCCTCCATCCCTAAACAGAAACTTTTCCGTGACGTCATTAGACTTTGTTACCGTAGAACATTTATAAGAACAGAATTTTTTTGGAAAACATTATAAGGTGTTTTACCATTTTCGACTAATTTCTTTGTACAAATGCCCCATTCTAAGGTGTCCAATTAAGTTCTCACCTAGGTTCCTGTTGCGGAGGTTGGGATGGATAAATTGCCTAAGACAAGTGCAGAGACAACATCTTTTCACACGGGCAAGAAATATGACATATCAGGAAAATTATGTGGACAATCTCTTGAAACATGGGTTTTTTTTTTTTATTACTTGTAATGTTTTCCTCTCTGAAAAGAATAGCTTGTCTTAACAAATGACAATTCATCTGTGATTTTCTTCAGTATTGGGCTATACACTTCAATTCGATATTGATCACATCAGTTTCGCACAGTGGTATCTAAAAAAGTTTTGTATAAACGACTTGAACCATTTGCAAAGTCCGAAGATAAAATATGCTGCTATAAATGTTCATTACATCCATAAAACGACAAGACAGTCGCAGCTCTGTGTTACAAAGAAAAGGAGAAAATGTTCTCTTCCTTCGGTTTTTATTCATTACTCTTATCTTTACCAGTGACGGTTATATTAAATGCAGTATCTCATGCGCCATCCGTTCTTGTTTATCAACTGAACATCTGACAGAAATGGATGACCCACTTAGCCTTAAACTCAGTAAATATATAAATTTTCCATGAAAAAATATACAGCCAGCCAAGAATGTTCAACATGCAATGATTACTGAGAAATTTATAAGCGAAACACTTTACTTAAACGCCGCCAAGCTGAGCATCAGGAATACGCCAAAGTTCACCAACATACACTTTGAAATCAAGATTGGAAGTCCCACGGCCCAGCAGGTCTCATATGAGTAATTATCTTCAGGCTACTTTCCCAACAGCCACAGGACGTATGATAACTATGAATTATTAAAGCATACTTGCACCGCAGTCATAAAACTGGCTGGGAAACAGTAAATGAGGCACAGACTATATTCTCTTTTGTTTTTCCTTTGGGTCTTTGTCATGGTGTATTATTTTGGAACTGTGAAATTATGACCTGCTATCTCCCAAGAGCATTGTTTAAAACTGACGCTTTTTTCATCCCAATTTGTGAAGGAAGAAACTTTGCTCGATGTCCTCCCCGATTCGTGTAATTTAATTAAAATCTATCGGGCCACAAACATAAAATTAATGGTGCATTTCTTCTGAGATAAATGTACGTGACTAACGTCAGTTCTGTCTTAGAAACCTAATTTTAGCACCCCTGAAACCTCAACTAACATGTTAAAAGACATACACTAAGCCATACGGGTTTTGTAGATTAGGTTTGCGTAATTAAGGGACACTGAAAAACTTACCAAGTCAATGATTTGATTGAGAGCTATATCAAACTTTACTTTTACTGCAGTTGTCTTCTCTTTTTGCGGAATGATGTTTGTACTGTAGTTTGCGAATAAGTCGTTTTGGAGTCTTTCCAAGTCATCGTAATGTTGTTTGCTCCCATCTGCCAAGAAAAGGATAAGTATTTTACCAACAATCTGTAAATTCCGGATTATATAGGAATACCAGTCGCAAGTTATAAAAAATTAACACCGTACAATATTTTTTAAATAAAGTTAGATCACCCAACAATCAAGTGCTAACTTATGTAACAGTGTCTTTCTTTTTTTTTTTTTTTTTTTTTTTCACCTTGTCAAATTCCCGCTGGACAAAGATCTCAATAGCTTTCACCTACATAGTAAAATGGAACACCAGTAAATTTTGTCACCACATATAAATGGGTATTATTACAGTTCTTTTGGTCTCTGTAAGGCAGATAGGTCAGGGTTTGATTGCCTCTCGTTTTTCAGTTTTTATATGTAATACAACCATAAACTTCACATTCGAATACCAAGACACAAAAGCTACATTTTACAGAAATTCTTTCACAAAAACATCGATACATTAAGGTTACAGATCTTTCAAACAGCTAAGCTAAACCGTATGTTTATGTGCTTATTTCACTGAAATGGAACATCGCAAACGCTTTAAAAAAATTGAAGTTACTGGCTTACCTACAAAATTAAGGCAAAACAGCAGGCATAGAAGGACTTTTTCCAAAGGCCTGTGCATTCTTGAGAAACCGAGATCTCGACACAGATGATAAATACACAACAAGCGGTGAAAACGCAATATTTTATCAGCGGCGGTAAATGTCAACAAATGCAAAACTGATATCCGTTATTGGTTGTTTTCCAAGCAATTTCCAAGAACTTTCTTTTTGCCCAAGGGTTAATCAACTAAGAACAGTTTCCAAATTCTACGAGCCAAGAAGAATATGTAAAGTGTTTATGTTGATTTTTGATAACATGATTCCCTTGCGAGAATTTACGTGTATTGTGGTCGTGTGACAGACGGTCCAACAATTAATTAATAATTGCATGGAAATTAACGAGCTAAACTAGCTTTCTGATTTAGTGAATTCTGTAAACAACATTTCACAGTCTTTATATGACAAGAAACCTAGATTTAGAGATAAATTCTTTGATACCTTTCTGCCGTTCCAGAAAGCTTCCTGTGTGCGTTTTGACAATAGCATAAAAAAATGAGGAAATTCTTTGCAAAAAACATTCTTATGTTTCCATACACCTAAAATGACTATCAATTGTTTCTAGTAAATGAATTAATATCGGTGAAATATAGAGGAAACCCGTGAGGCTATTTTGAAGGATTCTGATTTGCATTTATATCGCCAGCGGAATTTTACTTTACAACCAAGAATAAACGTGGAACTGATCGTTTCTGTTTCTCGAAAAGCCGCCAAAAAAGGAAAGTTGGAGTGAAAGACCATACATCTGACTCTTCACTGCTTCCTCTTTCCCTCCAATTATTTCAGCCAAATGATGGAAAATATAATGCCGCTGACGAACTTTGCTTCTTCTCCGGATTAAAAAGCTTAAGTTATTATTGTTGAACTACACCGCCAGTGTACCGTACCTATTCTTTAGCTTTTTGTTTTATAAACTCTTTCTCAAACAAGGCACTGTTTTAAAGTTTATGTCAAAAGAGTTGAAATGAACCTTCTAATTGGCCTCTGAGATCCAAGAATCTTTCATACCATGAGACAAAAAACATAATTTTATCTTTGGTAGTATTTTCTCCCGTTATGTCTGATCATTTTCCGCGGAAGGGCTTAGCGTTTCACTTAGGTGTTTATTTTGACTGAAAGCCTTTCGTCGTAATGGAATAGATGTTTGTATTCAATAGATTTGATCGTCCAAATTGAACTATTTTGAACGGTTGCTTTGTGTCATTCAGTCATTTCAGTGAGCTTACTATTTTGACTCTTCCGGTAGTGTTATCCTAAAAGAGGTTCCAAAATATTGTTTATCGATCAGGAACATCTATTACTGACAAACGCACATTTTGGGGAAAATCGAAGTTTTACGAGTCCCTTGTCGTTGTTCGACGAGGTGTTGGCGAAATAGTGACACATTCCCTGATAAGTAATAATTACAATTGATCCTTCTTTTTAGGATTTTCAACCCAAGTTTTGAAGGCTTCACAAGTTGATTAATAAATATATGGTGGCGATAAACAGTCAACACAGAGTTGCACGCCATGAGGTTTTAGAGGAGAAACATCATCTATACATCCAATTGTTTGGGGTAGACCACTACTCTTCGACCTCCTGGCTTTGATCTCCTGTTAAGTTCGGTGCTGAGGTTGGAAACTTTTCATTTCCCCCACATGATCGTCGAAAATTGTTCTTCCTTTACTTGGAGAGATATAAACCTCAGCCGGGGGGTGCCGGAGATTGATACATCCAGAGCCCGACTGAAAGAGTTCAGTCAACTAGGCTTTTATTAGTGAGTGAAACTGAATCCTTTCCGCCTAAAAATTGAAACTGACCTAAGCTCGTTAAAGTATTCATGATATAGTAATACCAATTTTTAATACTCTTAAAAGATCAATCCCACAAATCGTCAAATTCATTGTAAATTGATATGGTGCTTACAGTGTTTATACGGAAATTTATCAGTTTGGAAAGTACGTTTTACTTGTTATTCAAAGAACAATTTTGTCATAAATATCTGAACAAATTCTTACAGATAATGTATATACAGAAAAATATATATGTACAAATATGCATTTTTCATTTTTCTTTTCAAAACCTTTAACTTGACATTGGAGGTTAGTGTGTCGTAATCCTCCATCATCAATTCATTCCTTGCTTTGCAATGCTCTTTACTTCCACAAGAAAACGATACAATTTGACTGACTGACATCTGAATTATATAAAAAACAGTTTGAAAAGAAGTGTTTAGTGGATACAACACGTTTCAGCCAAGCTAAGCTTTAATTACCTAGATTGTTACACCCTGATGAACAGGCACAAGACTCACCCTTCGAGTTGTACTCCTCTTTTTTTCAAGGATCGATTGGAATCAACCTAACCAATTCTGTTAAGCCATAATTTTGGAACATACGAGCATTAAGAGGAAGTAATAGTTGCTGACAACATTTTCCAAATCCCCGGCGAAAATTTTCGTCCATAATCAGCAACTCCAATTACCCCCAGGCTCACTCTACTTTGGGAATAAGTGGATCTCGGTGTACTGTTAAATTCCCCTCGTCTTTTATTTAGGGTAGTCAATTTTAATCTAAAACACTGCACTGCTATTTTTAAGCGCGAACTTTATTTTTACACTCAAAGTACTGCGTTTATCATACTCCTGTAACCGTTGCATTCACTCGTCGGCCTGAACGGAAGCATCTTAAGACAAATATGGAGGAAGGTTTTCATCAGTAGGATATGAAATTCCTATCTTACAGTAAATTTATTTCATATATTCAGTAAGAACACGATCGAAACCATCTGCCATGATCGCCAAAGCGTAGAGACTTGCGGTAGGCCGCTGTCAACGTCGCCACCAAACGCCGCCAGTTAGGATACGGAAAATAACGCTTCATTACTCTCATCTTTTATTACACTTTGTTCCTTTTTTAATTCCGTAACCATAAATTCTAATTTGAGGAACTTTTTTTAGGAAAAAGGGTGAACACATTGAACTAAACGCCTTCTGAGCAAGTTTTACGACTACACCCTTTGCATTGTTCATTATTTGTAAATAAAAAGTGAATCATCTACACTAGGAAAAAATAAAACCACTGTAATTGTATAATTAGGTTATTAGTTATTATTTACTTATATATTCTTCTCGATCTTTTAACATACAAAACTTAACGTAAGAGAGAGAATTTAAGTAAAAGCTGCAATTAGTGTGAACGGATGGGGAGCAATCCCCAACCTGCAACGCTCATACTTGCTTTGCTTTCCTGTTCACAATAAGCGTCTTCGTAAGCAATAAATAACACAGGCACTTATAAAAACTGTCACCAGATTATTGGTACTTGTTGTTGTGAGCCATTACAGAAAAAAATTATAAACAATCCTGGTGATGTGTCCCATTGATTAATATAAAATTTAGTAGCTCAAACCAACCAACAAACATGTCAAAAATTTCCAAACAGCTTTTAGGCTGGAATCAAATTGACATAAGCAACAATACTTCAGGACTGTTTACATGAAAACGAAGTCTACCTTAACTCACAGTTCTACAAAATGAGTGGACCTTGATATTTCTACATATGTGCACTGTGTTGAGAAAATTAATATTTTTTTATCGTTAGCTATAGGCCATCTTGACACTGTTCACACAAATCAATGATTAAATAGTTGTCAACTGTTTAATTCGAAGATAGTTAGAATGCAGTTTTATTCCAATCTATGTTTCGACATTGATCAAAAAGGCACGATTCTACGATTAGATCAAAACCAACTTTAATGCCTGACAACATGCCTGACAATCGCAACCAACAGCATTTCCATATTTCACCGCTATAACGATCCACTTTTGAAAGATTCGCATAAATTTGATTGATCTGGCATACGTCACTAATTCCAAGAGACAACAGGGTCATTGGTGGTGGTACCTGTGAATGACTTGACAAACTCATTCACTATAATATCTCTCGAATTATCATCATTTGCTAGAAGATCATCAACAAACACAGTACACATGGTGTTTTCCAGTCAAGAAGGTAAACAGCAAATTAGTATTGCAAGGATGATAAGCAATTATCCTGTACACAGATCATTCCATTTCATGTTCTACATCCACCACTGGAACGTTATCTTAAATTTTCAGTATTAAGAGTTAGTTCTTAAAGAATTTAGCTATTGCAGGGGTGTTCCTCCTCAGCTATAGTCTGTTGACCACTCCTGCAAGGGAACCTTAAAGGAAAAAAACCTCATATGTTACTATTGCCTTCAACTAGGAGAAAATATGCAATAATATTGTATTTGAATGTTTATCAATCACCTGACAGATGGACAGGCTAGTGATAATGTGTATTACAGGCTTCCTGAATCAACACATGATTTGCTAATTTGTCATTAATCAGTCAAGCAATAGTCAACCAACTGACAGTTGGGTTTTTTACTTAGCCAAGACCATGGCTGGACACTGCAACGATTCTTCAGTTGAGTGACAGTCAGCCATCAGCCAATTATAAGCTAACCATTGGCCAAATGAGAACCAACAAAGCAATCAGGGCTTGGTTGTTTGAAGGGTGGATAACTCTATCCACTGGGTAAATCCCTATCCAGTGGATAGCACAGAAGCTTTTGCTGACACTTTCCAGCAGGAAAGCAATTTATCTGTTGGACAGCATTACCTTCCTTTTAAAGAATTGGGCCACAGCTTTTGTCCTTTGCTTTCATAATTATTGCAAAATCAGACATAAAGTGAATAACTATATGTATTGAGATTATACTGTACAAAACTGAACACAACAGTCAACACTGCATTAAACTTTAAATAAAACTAATAATTGACTCATATCTTACATCAAACTTGACTTTCAGTGAAATTGTTTCCTGTTATGTGGACCCAAGACTACAAAGATATTCCAAAGCTTTTTCTTCATCATTATTAGCAGCTTGCAGGCAGTTCAGTATGTTATCTTCCTTAAAGCCAAAGTCTTTATATTTCTTCACCAGTTCAAGAAATTCAGCTGCCTGCAAGCATAAAAGAGTTTGATTGCCAAGTAAGTAGTTACATGAACACATGATTACCAAGAAAGAATATTTTGTCTATAATTTTTAACCTCAAGGTCTTAATCTCCTGAAAAAATATGTGAATCCAATCTTCTGCCCCATGCACATGAATAAAAGGAGGAGAGGACTTAAAGCCTTTTCAACCCTCAGCAAAGGGTGTATTTTTCATGATTGAACCTCTTTCTCTACATGTGCCCATAACTGGAGACCACATGTACAATGTACACGAGTTAAAACATGTGTTGGTATACCACCAGCCCACAAACCTTTTGCATGATTCTTACACTTGCAAAACAAAACCTTTGTCTTCTGCAAGTTCATACCTGACAGCTATTTTCACTCCCTTAGTAGAAAAACTCAAGCTACCACAGCCCTAATTCAAAAACTGCTTAAAATGTGTAGTGTAACCAGTGTGTATATATGAATTAGACCATAGGAGATTAGTCTATGCAAATTACTATTCATAAGCTTAAACCTTTGGTAATGAAAGGAAGGTCATTGGAGACTGTTTTTATTAACTCCCAAAGACAACTATGGTATGTAGTCAGAACATGTTTGAAATATTTGGAACATTCTTGGAACATTTTCAGATATGATCAAGTTCTCTTAACTCTTTAAGTCCCACTAGTGACATAGACAAAATTTCTTCTCATACATCAGTACAATATCAAGCAGACAAGTAATGAGAATAAAGAAAAATGTTAATTAGGGGATTATTGGTTGATCCAATTCCAAATTCTCCAAACTAACATCACACGAATTAAATGGCAGACAGTAAAGAGAATTATTAATGAAATCTTGGGAGTTAAAGGGTTAAACATTCCTAGCAATCTGAGGAGAATCTCACACATTCAACTCAGACAAAAGCTGGCATGTATTTTTTGATTGAAAATCACCCTGTCATCTTAAACAGGGCTTGACTTGTACATCAGCACAAGGCAAAATTCTGACCAACACTCAAGGTGGCTTATGTATAAGTTGAAAACTAATCCTTCCTCAGCTGGTATAAGCTATTCACACAATACCTTTGTTCACCTGTAATACCAGTAAAAGACAGAGTGCAAACTGTACACTTTGAGTACCTTGGCTTTCTCATTGTTATTATATATGAGGGCAACTTCGACAGTGTCTGGAGGATATTTCTTTTCAATCAAATCATTTACAGCCAATAGGAATTCCATGACCTGTAAATTCAACAGTGGAATGTTAAAACTGACAATTCATCCCCAGTTTTGGATTAACATACAATCTACTTAACCAGGAATTAGCATTTTTGGCAATTTGTTTGGAACCGGGAACTTTTATTTTTATCCTTTCAATTACAATATAATAAGTGCTAATTGTGCCCATGTGATTCATGGTTAAAAAGGAGAAATATGGAGAGTTTATTACAGAAAGTATATGATTTTCCCTGCCATAAAAGTGCAATTATAAAAGTTTACTTCTTACCACACTTTAAGATTACAAAGAATAACCTATCCAATAATAATAATAATAAAAAAAAACTCAAATGTATCAAATTTGACTATTGACCCGGCCATTTTGAAAACAACTCGGAACCCTAGCTAGTCCTTTTTTTGTAGCTCCACAAAGTTTGAAGTGATCATCAAGAGATGGATAAAAGAGACGTGGAGCTTATCACCTCCTGGTAAACTGCCTTGCTAAGTAAACTGGTTGCTAAGTGAGACTCTCAATGCCAGCATACATGTGCATAATCAAATTTTTACCATATTTTTCAATTTCATAAGTTCAAGATACTTCTTAATGGCAGAGGTGAAAGTTAAAACTTTATAATTTAAATAATGCCTCTATCCATGTTCTGTTCTTTCTCTTTGTCTGGGCAAATCTCAAAAAGAAGAAGTCATTCCTACAACTTTAAGACAAACATAGAAAACTATGAAAAACTATGTGCATGTATTTTAACTTAAAACCCTCCCTGCTGCGCAGGTTCAAATGCTCTTGGTGACACAGGATTAAATTCTCTTGGTATCCTGGCCCCTTCAATTGTTATCAAAGTAACTACTCTCCTGGCCTGGTATACATGGTGAAAAACAGAGGTAACACCATGGCCAAGGAAAAGGTGCTTGAACACATTACCTCACTGTCTTTCATCCCCAGTCTCTGCACAGCTCTACTAACACGTGCCTGAGGGAAACCCATGCTTGCAATATTTTTGACAAATGCTTTTTCTGACTCTTCTAAAACAGGCCATGGATCTGGTAAAGAGGACCTATCTTCACAAACTTTACCAATCCTTTGCCCTTGATCTAGCTTTCCAATTGGAGGCAATGGAGAAGGATAACGCCCACACACTCCAGGATTCTATACAAAAAAAATTACACTTCATGTGAGATACTGAAGGTTATTGAATGTATCAAAAAAATCAATGTCTGCTTGTGATGTTTTGGAATTATTACAAATTGAAAGAGCCTTATACAACAGCCACGTGTGCAGATAATGTAAAAGATAACAAATGAATTGTAAAACAACAGTTTGTATTTAAGTTGATGACTGGCAATAGCCAAAACAAAATCTACATCTAGTATCCAGAGTAATCAACGATTTTTGCAATTTCTCTGAGTTACAAATTCATGCTAAAATGTTCAAGTACAAAATTGTGTTTCCCATCACTTCTTAGGAAAACATTTTCCATTAAAAGAAGTAAAACAACTTTAAGCTAAAGGTCTTAGCCTTAAACATGGAACTGACAATATCTCCTTATATCTAGTGAGTGGGAATAATTTGTTTTATTTTCTTTGAAAAGCCTCTGTGAGGAAAGTCTAAAAAGTACTGCATGTATCTACATTGCACAGGTTGTATATATGCAATGTGTACTTTCCATCCTCAAAGGAAACATGTCTAATAAAATCAACTGTTATTCTTTATTGTAGTACAAGGCTGTTTAATGTTGCTTTGTGAGCCTACAGCCTCCCTTCCTCTCACAGGCCTTTCTCCTGAGAGCTTTATGAGTTTAGTTAAGATCTATGTGTCTTTATCCTTAGGTCCTTTCACTTCAAAAACTTGGATGTATTCATGTTGGACTATTAGAGTAACCAAGCAATTCCTTGAGAGTAGCTACAGCTAACAGTATGATGAATAAACTCTCCAATTTGTGTGGCAAGCCTTTATTTCAAGGACTCATTTTGATGAGTGTATGGTAAGCCTACAAGGGGCTTGATGATAATCAATGGGGAAGTGATGCTGATTGCTGTTTATTCAATGAACCTGCTAAGAGTAACTTTATTAAGAATGTTATTTTTTCAAATGATTAAAGGGGTAAGTCTCTAAAGAAACTCTTGTGATGCATTGAAGGGAGGTATGACAAGAAAAATTGTTTTTATCACCTGAGTTGATAAATGTAACTTGGCCAATGTGCAGAGTTTCTACGGCTGATTTTTCAAGCTTTACTCCCATGTAGGAGAAAATGGTGAATATTTCACTCTGATGTAGGGCTGATGCTTGAAATTTCTGCTTTAGAAACTCTTAACAGTGGCAACTTTTCATTATCTACTCAGTTGACAAAACCACATTATTAAGGTTACTCACTTGAAGTTCAGGGGATTCTGGGACTTTCCACTCCGGTTCCCTTAAACTAGAAACAGTTGAGGGAGGGTTGTTCTGTCTGAATTGTGTTCTAGCATCTTGACCTATTGCAATTGCTTGTTGCCCTTGCAATGGAGGAGTTTTTGGAAAACTATAAATTCCACCCTGGAATGAATCTCTACTCTCATTAGCATGTGTTGAAATTTGAGAATGGGTTTGTCCTTGCAGTTGTTGAGAACCTGCTGAGGAAAAACTGTGCCCAATTGGGGGTAACACTGCCCCCCTGGAGATTGGCCTGTTCTCAGGAAAAAGTCTTGTGTTACAAGAAGAAGTAGTGGTGACTGAGTCACTATTTACAGCTGAAACTTGATGAGTACTTGAAGACGTCTTTGAATCTCCAAAGTCAACTAGCAATGCACCCGCTTCGTTGACATTGGTTGAGGTTATTGCATCTGAAAGTTTAGTGACAGGTGAAGGTTTATTGAAGGAATTTGTTCCTGTAATATCAATTAGTGAGTTATGAGAAGGAGAAACACTGATGGTAGTAGCTGAAGTACTTATAGAGGTATTTAGTTTATTATCAGCATGAGAGCTGGATGGATTTTCCAAAGAGGTAGCTGGCCTTATCATGTCAGGTTGAAGAACATTTTTTAGTTCATCCATATCATTTATTGTTTGCAATTCCACAAGTTCAAATGGTGTTGATGCGTCACCCTCAAAATCTGCCAAGTCAAATGAATTTTTTCCTTTTCCTCCAAAGCTATCACTTTTTTTATGTCCTAATCCAGGAGCAACCACAGGTTGAAGAATTTCATTTCCGAAATTTGAAAACACTACATTTTGACCAGGAGGAGTATCTGAAGAAGAACTTTCCAGATGAGCTTCAGGTGAGGATTGCACCTCTGTTTTTGTAGAGGCCTTTAAGGCATCTGCTTTAGAAATGACATCTTTTTCAAGACTGAAGTCATACTAAAAGAAAAAAAAAAAGCAAAGAAAAATATGTATTAAGCAAAAGCCAAAGAGATACAATACAGAAAACACTTCTTCTGGTTAATGTTTATGTATGAGTTTAACCTCTCCTCTTTTCCCTGCACAAAAACATAGTTTGTGTACACCTTCAAGTTTCCAACACATGCTCTATGAATACACAGGTCATTCCACTGCAGTTCACCAAAGAATTTGTCTGTAACTGTACGTAGGTTTCAATTGTAGGATATATTCTAACACATAACATCAGCAAAACTTCTTTATGCATCTTAACCACTTACTGTTAAGCTTAGGACAGCTGAGGGATCTCTTTGCTGCCATCCAACAGGTAATGTTACCTGAAGTTAAACCACACATTATAAATCAACTGAGATACTTGACATACTTTCACCAGTTGATTAGAGCATCTGGATGATGTGTGCACATACCATTGTGCCATTTTAGATTTACACAACTTTTTGAGAGATATTTAATAAAGAATTTTTCCATAAAGATGAAGCCCCAGGGGATTGAAAGAATCCTCAAAAGCAATGCAAATCTTCAACTGCATCTCAGGTTCGCATAACTCCTGCGGACCATCTTTGTCTTTAAATGAGGCTTAACACGGAAAAAGTTTTCTAATGCTAAATCATAACTCAAACGAAGTAACATATATTAAAATTTCGTCTGTAATTGCTGCGTTTTATTTAGGATAACTAAACCTACCTTTCAGGACGATCGAAATGTACTTGAATGATCTGCTGATAATCACGGGTTCAAACCATTTCAAATCATGTAATGTTGATAGCTTGCTTACACGATTACCAGCCTTAAAGGCTGACGTAAGAAAAAGGAAACATATCGAGAGGTAACAGCAACCCTATTTACCTTTTTCGGTGGTCTGAACTTCTCTCCAATTTTGACCTCGACTCCTTGCAAAGAGTGAAATTCTGCATGATCTAAAGATGAGTTTATTGCAGGAGTTAATGTTCAATAGCATCATTCTTTGATGCTCATATGTCTAAAAAATACCATGTAAAATTCAATTTTAGAAGGAACTCTACAAGTATAAGGTAGATCTTAGGGTAGAACGGCAGGCATTTTTCTAAAATTGACGCCTATTTCTATACTGTTGCACAAGGTCGAAAACAGAACATCACAAATTTACTGTTGTCTTTCGAATTCTTTGCGAGGACATTCAAAGGGAGAACAAAAAAAATACATACGACTTCCACTTTTGCGAAATGTCTTTTGAAAAGAAGTCATCTTGGGCACAAGTCCAACAAATCGTGAAAGGAGAGAATTGCTGCCTCAGCCGATGTTGTCCTCCATTATAACCTTTTAGAGATATGATGTCATTGCGCCTGCGTTGTTTTGCGTCCGGAAAGTGTAAATGCTTAGGGAAATTCTATTCAAAGCTGAGTTCTGAAACCACGGAGCAGCATCCTTGTATTCTGTACCTTTTATACCATCGTATAATAAGGATACTCTCCAGCTGTTTCTTCTCTTGTCAGGCGCACCAGTGTCTACTTCAGCAATGCTGTAGGTGACAATATATTAGAACTCCACTCTACCCTCCTCAGGTGAAACTCTCCCTATCAGCCCTACTACTCGTGTTGCCATAGTGAGGTATGATGCGCCATTTTGGAACTTTCTAAAATGGGTAAAAAGTCATAACATCAAAATGTCTAAAAAAGATAGACTCTATCAACTGGAGAGGCCACCATTCAGTTCCGTAAGTTTTAAATTTTGTTTAATGCATGTTATCATTCATACGTTTACAAGGCCCCTACCTCCTTTTAAAACGTTTTACTTAACTTGATACTAGTAGAGACAAGGTTGTTTAGCTTAGTTCCTTATATTGTGTTTCCATAAACAGAGGGAATTTCACACGAAGTTTACGAATCTTGTGGGACCTTTAAGTCTATTTGAACCAGAAGATGGAGTAGGTAGGGGACGGCTTTGTTTGAATGTGATTGCAGATACTTGTATGTCATACGTTTAGTTTACACAAACTAACGTTGCGTTTTTTTGCATTGTTTCATTTAAATTACATTGCTTTGAACGTTTGGCTTTGCAGTTTAAGTCAAGCAAAGAATGTTTCTCTCCACCTGGGAGATCTATCTGCTCTGGAAGATGGATTTTTCGAGTCCTGGACATTGAAAATATTTTTCTTTCGTCTGTTCCTCTCTGTGTAAAAAAAACAAATGGTTATTACCGCCTCCCCCCCCTTTTTATTTTTAAATTTTAAGGAAAACCTTCGAGTATGTTTTGAAATAATTCTTGTGATAATCAGCTGTACACTGAAATTGTATTAACTTTGTGATACCTTCTTACATCTCTGAAAGATATTGGAAATGAGAATCCTGAAGTTGAAAGACCACTAACACCAATTGAGGTACATAACATAATGGATATTTGTACAGTACAATTAACAGAGTTGGTATAGCACCTTGAATGTCTTCTGCACTCACTTGTATGTAATGTGTAGTAAATATGATGTGATGTAAACCTTGATCATTCAACAAGGATATTTTAACAGGTGCTTTCTGTGGACAATTATTCTTGTTGATTGAAGGTTTGACTCAAGTTGAGTGAAACAAAGTTTGTAATCAGAGGTTTTTTTACATGGATAGGATGCAGTTAAATGGCCACCATCATCATTCAGTGCTTTGGCAAAACTAGTTCATCCTAGACTCACACCAAAGGAGGGAATTGCTGGACTGTCTGTTAGTGACCAGCACAAATTGGTATGTACACCAATGTGCTTATTTCTAATTTTCAAGTATGTGTGCATAGATTTGTAAAGGGAACAGGTATGCATCCCACTGATGTCCAGAGAGAATTTGTGCTTTTTAATGTCAAGACTAAGGATAATCACCCCTGGTCTGTGTATGCATTAATTAGACCATTACATGTAATATGTGGTCTCATGGGAAACTGTTGGTTTTGTTTTCCTTTCAATCTCCATCACTGTGTTTATTTTCTGGGATACAATACTTGTAGAGGTAAAGTTGCAGTTACCTAAGAAAGATGGTGTGAATGGGTTTGCAGCTACATGGTTGTGTAGGCAAATTTGGCTTTGAAAAATCCATGAACTGTGAATTTGTGTAAGAGTCAAAGCACCTTTGTGATTAAAAAAAGTAATCATCAATTTTGTTCTTAGAGAATTTTGATTTCATTACAAGCAAAAATACACCATGGCAACATTTTGCCTCAGTTGCAAAAATGCAGTATTCAACTTGATGTTTTGATCAATTTCTTGATTTAATTGATTGATAAGTCTTAGTTGGATATGGCTCTAAGAGAATGGGATAGAGAGAGAAAAAATGGCATCAAAGTCGCAAGTTTAATTTTTCAATATACCAGTACGAACCTTGCTAAATACTTTTTTGTGGATACTTCTATTAATCTCATGAAAAGTTTTTTATATTTTGGTGAGTATATAAACCAGATTTTTTGACAACTCTCTACCGCCAATGGTTACACCATGTAAGATGCTCATTGCACATGTACATTTTCCTTTAGATTGGAATACTCATGAATGAATTAAACAGCATCTGGCAAGATGTACAAAGAGGCCCTCCAGATCCATTCTTGGTATTGCTAATCAATACAGATAATTTGATTTTGTTTTTCATTGAAAGTATTATCCTTGAACACTATAATGCATGAAAACAAAATTGACAAATCGATCAATGAGCCTTTAATGCACATGTGCATTCATGTATAATAAAGTTTTGTTAAAGTGAACAAATGCCATGTCACAAGGCTGTTGAAAAAATTTCGATTCAAACAAGGTATTATTTAAAAATTATACATTTTTTTATTCTCACTTGGCTTTTCCCCTTTTGGTTATTAGACAGGACAACAGAACAGAGAATTGCAGAGGTAAAAAAATAAGCCTACTGCTGTAATATGAGCATTTCCTTTCATGCAAGAAATTTTGAGTTCTTGAGTAATGGAAGCCAGCAAGAGGTCTGGTAGAGCTCATTGTTAGTGCCAGAACTAAGGCACACCTCACCTTGACTCATCTCAAATCTTCCTGCAGGCAGGGAAATGCTCGCCCTGCAGCAGTATAATAATGAGTGCTGGCACCTGTCAGTCAAGTGCATGAAGGAGGTTGATACATTGGCCGATACTCGGTCCACATGACCCATAATTGGTCAACAGTTGGTCAATACCTGGCCTTCAAGTTGACTGTTAGGTTGCAATAAACAGTTGGCAACATAAGTGTTGTACTGTTCCACTGTTGGTGCTATTTGTGTGTTGTTAATTGTTGTTTTGCTGAAATAGCAGCTGTCTCACAGCCCTTTCCTTACCAAAGGGGACAGGAAAGAAGAGTCTCTAACGTCTTTGCGATAGAGTGAGGAATATAACTTGATTACAAATTTAACTTAACTTGAGGTCTGAACAAGCATGAGCAAATGCAAAGTAATATTTGACCTACAACACAGCCATGATGAGAAACAAAAAGAAGCTGAAAAAAAAGTGTTTGACATAGATGAATGTTGCTGGCATAAAAGTCAAGAGTGGATGAGTTGAAATTTAAGTAAAGAAGATCACATGTGGTAACAACAGCTGACCAAGTGTTGGCTGAGTGTCAGTAAAGTGTCAGGCAATTGTCAGCTCAGTGTTGGTAAAGTATCCGCCATTTGTTGAGGAAGTACATGTGTACACGTGTGTCTGTCAAGAGGCAACAAATGTGAGGCAACATGTCCATGGATACTTGTATGACAGATACCTTTAGTACAGATAAGACTTTTTTCCTTAAGGACTCCCATGCTCAGTGTAATCAAAGATCAGAGATAAAGCATATCACCATGTTCACACACCATTGTCTTTGCAGCAAGAACACCAATTAATATTTTTCTTTATTCAAGAAAGTTAGCTGCACAATAAGTTAAAGTCAAAAATAATTGGTCTTTCTATTATGCAATATTTATTGTCTATAGTTTTTGCTTTGTTCCATCAACAGACGCGTTACAATTGAGATTGTGGTTGTTGTTCAAGGACTCTTTGCTAAATATTTAGACAAAGCCCAGAGTAAGTTAAAACATAGGCAGATGTGTTTAAAAATGGCAGGAGATTGGGTAGATGGTTTTTTTTAGATTTTCCTGAAGGTTTTGAAAACAATTTTCATGTTTCTGTGCATCTGTGAAGAAATGTAGTGCATGTGCATGACTTGTAGACAACTACTGCTTTGGTTGCAATATCTTCCCTTTAAGAGATGGTAGTTAACAACCAATCAACTGAAGATATATCTATATGGATTTTTAAAAAAATTAGGGAAAGTTAATAATGACTTTCCTTTTTTATCTTTCACTGACTTTGGTATTGTTCAGCAGCTGATATATATCTTTTTTTTTTAAAAGCTGGCATTTAAGGAGGTTCCTAAAACTATTAATGAAGAAATAAGCAGTGTGTCACTTCATCAACTTTTAATTCTAAGAAATTCAAAGGGTCTAGTGCAAATAAATCTTTCTCTTCTTTAAAGAGCTTCACCAGAGAGGTGTATTCAGCTGTCCTGCAAATCTCAGTCGTCTCAAAACTCAACTGGCTTTGGAGGCAAATAAAAGGTGTGTGGATCTTGTGTCTTCGTTTCTTTCTGCAGTTAAACCTTTTGTAGCACTATATTATACCCTTCTAAGGCTAAGATGTTTAGTTAGGAGTGATGTTGGCCTATAGTGGTAGAAATGATCATATTCATAAAAAAGGTGTTTGTAATAATGATAATAGATAAGGGGAAGTGTATTATGTAAACCTGAAAGCAGTACAAATTAACACTTTGCAGGTGTGACTGCATAGTGATAGAGAACTAAAAATGTAGGCACTGCACTTAGTGAAGCCTGGGAGGAAACTTTGGATAACAAATGCTGTTTGCTTTTGTCTTTGTAACCATCAAAAGATAGAATAGTGTAGTTTGATCATCTGGGTGAGTGTAGCCCTGAGAAGGATTGTTGTCAGTAGTGGTGACTGACATTTTTACAATCTGAGCGAAAGTCATCATTGTAGTCAAGTCAATAGTTTTTGTCAGTTGACTGTTCAACTTACGAACCACACTATTGACTGGGACTCTGTGAAATGCCTAACCTACAGCGCCAACTACTTTCAATGACTTACTCTGGAAAGCTGGTTTATTAACTTCAAACAGACTCTCCTCAACAGGTGTCAACCACTACTGGCACCATACAAATGACTCATTGACAACATTAACATTACAAATGAACCTAATAGAACAACCTAACTTTACTTAGTGAGATCAAGACTGACCAATCATGACTGACCTATGCTACTTGAGTCTTATAGCCAATAACATCACAGCAAAACTGACCAATCAATTTATACAAACCAGACTAAGCTAACCAACAGAACAATACTACAATCCGACAAACTCAACTACTTTATTAAACAGCGAGTAATGTTCTTACAATTAAGGAGTGACTCCTAAAAGTAGTACTATACTTATTGTTAATAAACTTGATTAAGCCCACCAAAGTCTATATCCTTGCTCACCACTGACACAACCTTGCTGCTGTCTCCAAAGTTCCTTGAAATGAGGAATCTTCTGCAGTAACTCTCTCTCTGTATAGCTTTCAAAACAGTCATCACTCCAACAGCAACAACCACTCTTACTACTACATAAGTGAGTCTTTATATATATATATATATATATATATATATTCATGAAGTGTTCTGGAACATTCCAGAAGCTTACGCAAGAACTATTTTAGTAGTATTATATAATAAATATGCATGACTCGATGAAATGTCCTGGAAAGTTCTGCAGTATGCAAGTCAGCAGCAGTCTGGAGATTTCAAGAAGATTTTATTTCAGGTTGTCAAAACGTCAGTCACAACTATACCAACAACAGTCCTTCTCACTTACCTGGATGATCAAACTACACTATTACTTGTTACCCCTGGGTTCAAACCATTTACTGCATCAAAAGATACTTTGCATGGAGATTTGAGTGAACTCTAGTAATTGTTTAAAACCTAGCTTAGGGAAGTTTAAACCAAACCTCCATCCCAAAAAGTGCTGTCCCTGAACCATGGGAAAAGAGTGCACAGTACAGTGTAGGTGACAATAATTACCCTTGAGGCAGGCCAAGTGATCTGTTGATAAGCCTGGTAAACTCTAGTTTGGCCCACTTTCCCTGTTAGGTCATGATCCCCAACAGGTTGCAATCTTTTGTCAGAAGAATTGTCTCACTGGCAATGCTAATAAGACCTTACATTTTCTTACATTTTCTTCTTTGCACATGTGTGCAATCCACTTAGGATATTGCATGGTGATGTGTCTAATTGATCATTTTTAATCTTATATTTTTTGTAGTCTTAATGTACTTAGCCTCAGACGCAATATTGCAGCAGACATAAAGCATCCAATAGATACAAGCACAGTCTCCAGCAAGTTCTCTTTTGGTAGAGCCCAACCTACTCCTCCACCAAAGCCTTACAGGCCACTTGCAGTAAGAATGTTTGTTTGATCAAAATGAATTAAGTGCTCTTTAATATTTCAGAAATTAATATAACATAAATTTTTTTATTTCCTCTTGGTAGCTGTTATTTTCCAAAAAGCAAAAATTTTTTCTTGTTTTGGTGAAATGATCATGTGTTATGTGGTTGTTGTTGTTGTTTTGTTGTTTAAATACATGCTTTTGTAATCATTATTTTTTCCACTGAAGGGTGGTAACTTTATGTTTCTTAGAAATATATGTTTTATAGCCTTCAGTTGGTGCCAGGATATCCTCAGGTTTTTGCTTGTAGACATTATCTCTTGCAAAAATGTAACACTTTTTGGAGATCAAATCCAAAGGAAAACTTTGAGCCTCAAGGAACAGATAATTTTTCAAAGGCAAGATCTCCCGGCAAATTTTCAAACTAAATGGAGGCTATGTTTTTCATGATCATTCAAATATTTTTTTGCTTAGTGCAGAACAAAGTATTGCATGTTTTCCTTTCTTATCTTGTAGGTTATTATATAGAAATGATCAGCCAATTTGACATATGTTTTGTTGCTGCCTGATTTTTTTCAACATACTTCGATTTATATGAATCATTTATAATGTGGGCATTCTCAAAGAACTTTTTTTGTTTTTCTCCCTGCTTTTAGACAAGACAGGGAGAGGATAGAAAGGGAAAACCATATTTAACAAGAGTAGAGAAACAGCAGCAATGGATGGATCGTGAACTGAGTGATGTGAGTGTTACATTATACAATCATGTAATTTTAATTTCAGCCTTCTAATAGATTTATTATTGTATACATGCTTCTAAGTGCAATTCTGCATGCAATCTGTTACTGTACAGACCCAAGGCAACATGGAATCTATTTGTTTTATAATTTTTGATTAAAATCCAAAATGCTATCAATTTTGACATCATCCAGGCATCTGTCCTCAAATAGATCATAAGTAAGAACTAACCAGATTGTTTGTAGAATTCAGCTTAATATATAAACCCACTTTGTAATACTATAAGTAACCAACACATACATCCAGACAAGTCCCTGCCCTGCAGTTGGGTACTTCAGTCTAAACTTGCATATCTAAATAGCACTTGGCTCAGAACTTTGCTTTATGTATTCAACCTTATATTGCTGAGAGCACCCATGGGGAATATCAAACAAATCTTGTGTTCTGATTGCCACTATAGCCTCTGGGGGTTGCCCACTTTCATCACATACAAGGAAAAAATAATTGTGTGGAGTGGACCTACAATTAGTGTGTAATTTTGGACAGTGTCAGCAATAAAGTTGTATAATATTAGCTGCAGGAGACAGTCAAAACAGAGAAATAAACAACCCTTGTGCATTTATTGTGCTACAAACACAGTTGGCTTTCTTGCTCAGTTCTCAAAACAACAAGTTATATAATTCTTACTAATAAAAATATTTTTTCTACATAATAAATGCCTTATTGACCAGGCTTGTTCAGTCAAGATGGCTGGATATAAGCCTTGTTCATTTTTCATGCTTGGTCAATAACCCGCATATATGACACTCTGATCAAACAGATGTCATACATATACTTCCTTTTTACCAGAATGTGAAATTATTTAGTGAAATAAGAGGGTTTGAGACCTGGCCAGGTCAATGTATTGTGTTCTTGGCAAGACACTTTACTCCCACACTTCCTCTCTATACCCAGGGGTATAAATGGGTACCAGCAAATTTTCAGGGCCTGATGAAATGCTGGGGGCAACACTGTGACAGAATAGCATTCCATCCAGTGGGGGAGTAGTAATATAATTCTGATTGCTTTGACATGGTTTGGAAACGGAGATAAGCTCCTGCTGGGTGGGCTAATAGGCTAGAATACAGACTTTACCCGTAAAGAGAGGATCTAAAGACCTGTAGCAAATATTGGGTTTTATAGATTTAACATCCATTATGCATCATTCTAGCTAAGGAAGTTGCTCACAGAGTGAGTAACATTTATGCATGCATGCTTGGTTGTTTAACTGGTTTTCTTATAACACATTTAACCACAAGTTGTTTGGTAAGCAACTTATTGTTTCATGATTTCTCTTACAGCTACAAAGGCAAATGCCACATCTACAATCAAGTTTATTTCAGAACATTAGCAGTCAAAATCTTCCCCTCCAAGAAAAATCTATATCAGGTAAAAATAATCTTAAATGAATTAATTCCTGCCCCAGGTTCACAATTGGAATCAAAGGATTTTCCTTCATCATCCCTTTCCCTTGATCTGTTGACTTCCCTTTTTGAGCCTTGCACTCATGGAGACTTTGCATACCTTAGGGCAACTGTACTCAGAACTTTCTATACTTCTGACATTGCTTCCTGCCTTATGCTTGGTATTTATCTTATGATTGCATTCCTTTATTACTTTGGCATGGCATGGTTCCAAAATTGTGAAATAATGTTTTAAAATACAACTCAAATTTAAAGCTAAACAACAATGGTCTCCAGGACCCAGTTGTTTGAAGGCCTATTAGCACTAACTCAACATAATTTAGATTTTAATCCAGGTTTATTTATTCCCTTATTCAAAAGCCTATTTGGGATAATTTTCTGTATCCTTTTTAAATCACCCAATAATTACATTCTAGACAAAAATAATCCAACTGAATTTTCTTTTGAACCCAGCTTTGAACACCCCTGCCCAGTACACCAAAAAATTCATGGTGGAATTAATGTACATGCCCACTGTGATGACCTTAATTTCCAGGAAGGATAGAGATAAAGATTTTTTTTGTATTGTTGGTAGCAGGTCAATAAATAACAGTTTGTTTTACTCCTCAGATTCTGTTTCAATATCAGAGGAAAACCTTTCTGGAGAAAGGTAAACCTTTTTCCTTAATTTTTGTCTATCATTAAAAAGGTTGTGGTGTCTCATTTATGAAGTGTTATCATTTTCTTACGATGTGTTCATTAAGATGTGGATTGCAACATTTTGTATTACTACGACTCCCTGTGACACCTGAATAGTCCATTTTACAATTGTGTGCTTGGTTGCCAAGCCTTTGAACAGGAGTGAGGCTAAGGGTGTTATGATACAAACCTTGCTGCTTTTGAAAAGTAAATTACTTTGTTATCATGCTTACTAGATACTGGTCTCTACCTTAACCAGGTCGCCTTCAGCCTCACTCCAAATAAAAGGCTTGGCAACTACATACACAACTGCAAAATGGCCTATTAAACTACACCTATTAAACTACTTGAAGCAGTATGTGGGAATGTCGTGATCCACATCTCCCTCTCTTGATGCAATATTTTATTTCATTGCTCAATTTGCTGAAACAATATTTTTATTTACACAGAAATGATGATGCAACACTCAACTCTTTACGGCAAGTAAGTCATGTGTTACATATCCATGCAGTCTAGCTCTCTGCTGTTGGTTAATCCAATACGAACTCTAGGTTTACTTTTGGAGTATAATTTTGCCCAAGGAATATTAATTCTAGTCACACTTCCATGTGCTCTTTTAAAAGCACTTAACTGTATGACAACAAATTTGACACTTATATCGTCTATGTAACTACTAAGACCTTTTTTCTTCTTTCTTTTTTTTTGGCAAAGAAATTTTCATCATTGCCAGAATTGTTTTCAAGGGATGCTGTACTAGAAGAGCTTGGTGTCTTGCCAGAAGATGTAAAAGGTTTGGAGATATTAAATGGGAAGATGGAAGAACTTCTCAATTTTCCTCTTTACACTTCAGCTAATATAAATATTTCATAATGTACAAGTAGGAGTGAATAGAACACTCCAACCCCATACAAATAAAGAAAATTTGCCTTTCATAGTGTGTTGCCTTTGAATAGAAATGTGAAATAATTAAAATTTTGAAATCTCTTTGGTGAAATGAATTCAAAGCTAATATTGTTGCTTTATTATCACATATTCTAGCTCATGTGCTCAAGAGAAGCCAGAGTGAGAGTAAACTTGTGGTGTGTGCAAACAATAGTGTTATTTTGAGAGTTCATCCTACCAAAAGGGTAGCAGGGAGTGCTTCTCTGTCACCTGGATAAGGAGGGGACCTTTTCATGAAATTTCTAGTGACTTTGTAGGCCTAATGGACCTTTCTGTGTCGTTTCCTGATATATTTACTATTTGAATTTCGAAAATTAAACACAGCAAACTAAGAGCAGTAGCAGCAGAAACCTATTTTTCTACCCTGTTCCCTACGTTTTGATTCTTCTAAGTGGGTTTCTACAGGTGAGGGGGGTTTGTTTAATGAATACTTTTCTTTTAACCCTCTAACCCCTAAGAGTGATATGCACCTAATTTCTGTAACAGTATCACTCTTGTAAAGTAAAGGTCATGAGAATAAAGCAAATCATAACCAATTCAAGAAGCATCTGATTTTCAGGCAAATTCTCCTTGTCAGTACCAAAGAAATTGTGAAGAGAACAGTGTAGAGAACATGAATATGAAGTTAAGGTTAAGGGTTAAAAAAAATACAGTAAAACTCCCAGTAACTCAAACCCTAATTGTTTTCCCTGGATTTCTCTCTGCTTACATTTATGTAATATTACCCTTGGTAAGGCTTGGTAACTTTCCCTTCTTGCTAGCAAGAATTTGTTTGGTTCCCTTCCAGGGGTTCCCTTTGGGTAATTTTCCATGTAATGTTTACCCATTGTGTCTCAAACTGTGTTTTTTAATATCAGAGTCCAGACTAACAGTATAATGGAGCCCAGAATGTTATATTTTCAGCCAACCTCTTTGTACTGTACCTAAAATTTGATTGGTATGTTTACTGTAACAAAAAAGACAAAAACAAAAACAAATCAAAAAAATTAGTCAACTCTGTTTTTCCCTCATTTCTGGTCATTTTTTGTGAATTCTGGGAACTGAAATTCCTGGTCACTCAAATCTTTCCCAATCTCCTTTGAAAGGTCAAGTTCTCAAGAGTCAGCAATGTCTTTTTCCTTATTTATTGCTAATATCATTTCAGGAAGAGGAAACGTTTGATGGACTTGAAGATGACAAGATAGCTGAAAAAAGGTTGTTGTTTATTTGTTGTCTATATTTCAAAATCCGATAACACCATAGCTTTTACAAACTTAGCCCCTATCAGATCGTAGACTCAAGAAGTTCAGTTGACTTTGTTAAGTTATAATCAATGGCTCTAAATGAACTAATTTGTAAATGAAATAATTTGCGTACAAAAGCACCATATCATCCATGCATTTGTATGTGTCCAGTGACGAAATATTTATTTAGTTAAATAGACTGTCCAACCTATTCTTATATCGTCACTAAATTTAGAGTACAGATATTTTATCTTTGTTGTTAACCTATACTATCAAACCAGATAGAGCTATATCCACGGACTGTGGCAGATTTGCAAGATGTAGGTTCCAGGTTAAAACTGTTTAACACTTAGTTTGCTAATATGTAGGAGCTTGAAACCAAAGGTAAATTTACTGTATATTTTTAGGTCTGATAATGCAAATCATGCCTCACGAGACCTCGTCAAACTTCTGGACTCGTCTTTGTCATCAAAACCCTCGGTAAAGAACAGAATATACTTAGTAACATGTATACATACGATTATTGGCGATTTACATCTACCAGCGCTGATCGTGTCTATATCTTCCATTATCAAAAACGATGTTATCATGTGAATTCAAAAGTTAAACTCAAAAACCAAGATTCACGAAAGCTACATCTACATCAAAAGCGACAAGTGAAAAGACTTTCATGAAAAGTAACGCCGGTTTATCATTTTGGAGTACTGTTTTTCGTTGTGGTTTTAAAATGTTATACAGTACAATCATATTATGTACATTGAATAGACTGGTCATAGTTTGTCGTAATTGTTATTAAAACCGGCAGTACAACTCTTAAGCATACGCGGATCTAAAGCGATGGTAGTAGGAAGAAAGCATCGCCCAAGTTAAAGATGAACCCCACAGTTCCCTTTTAATGAGACAGACAAGTTACTTCTAAGAGGAAATACAGCCTTCGAGATTTTGTAAGAGGATTCTAGAAGAGTGACAGTTAGTGCATTGTTTAGCCAGCCCTATCCTCATCTTTAGATCCAATACGGTGAAATTGCAACAGTTTTGTTCTTCATTTGTTATTGAAGCTTCCCTCTTGCAAAGCTACTGTTTGTTTTATCAAATCTGTGAATGGCGATCTTGTGTCTTGTCTATGGTTTAGGAAGGAGTTCGAGGCGAAGAAGAATACGACGATCTGCCCCCACTTTTACAGGTTCGAGTTACACAATTGTTGATTGTTCATGTAAGACTTCTGCCTAAAAGTTGTTGAAGACTTTGCTACAGTGAGCGAGTAGGTTATGCAACAAAGGTTTACGTTTTGTTCAAGGCACTTGCTCGGCACAGCACGAGACACAAGGAAAGAGATCAGAAGACACAAAAGCGGCTAAAGAGAGAAGTTGAATCTAAGGACAACTTAGATGATACAAGTAGTGTCACATCCACAATAGGGTCAACAGAGGCGTCTTCAGTGGCTGCTGATCCAACTATTCAGGAAGAAACGTAAGATTTCACGAAAACAAATTGAACTGATAATTTGTCGTGCATTTTTTTTAAGTTCAGTTCTCATTACGAAACGTTTTCATGATTCATTTCGTCTCTCACATTCTTCATGGTTATTTTTCCTTATTTGGGAAATAGTTACTGCCATTTGGTACAATCATCGGTTTGAATTCATTGGGGACAAGAAATTCAGCACATTTTTACTGAGGAAGATATCATTAAGAGCCAATGAGGATTCAACGTAAAAATTGGCGCTCAATTGTCTGAAGCACGAGAAAACGGAAATCTTTCATTTGCCATTGATTTTAGTTTCACATCTGATCAGCGCATGAGAGGTTTGCTTGAATTGTGTAAACCAGTCACAGAGGGAGATAAACCTAAACCAGTGCAATGCTGGATTATTGTGGACACACAATAAAGGAAGGAAATTGGGTGGGGTAAACAATCGTAAAATTGATTTAAAATTCAGTTGCATAACTAATTATTAAAGAAGAATGAACACCTCTCTAAACGTTGGTGTGGCTATTGAGATTGCCGATTGCTTCTTTATATAAGTACTTCTTCATTTCATCATTGATTAATTCACATTTTGTTTATTTTGGGCCTCGTTTGTAAACCACACGAATTTAGGTGTTGTCTCTCCATGTTTAGTTGGACTACATTTTTTGGTAACCGGTCGATTCGACAATGAGTCGTTTCGCAAACATCTCTGGTCAGTTCACAAACGTATAGAAGTCAGGTTGCAAACGTTCAGAAGTCATTTCGCAAACGTAATAAACATTTACATGTCAACTTGGGTTTAACTATACGATTCAGAATACTACATTGCTGACACGTTGTATGCGTAAATTGTTGGATGTGAAATCTCACAGCTTATTTCTCGCTTAAGTATATTTCATAATCAAATGGGCAGTTTTTATCCGGTGTCTCAGTAGTTGTTAATCATCCTTCAAAGAGCAAAGCTTCCTGATAAAACACAAAAACAGTAAGACCTGTTTCATATCGGTAGATTGATTTGCGGATTACAGCTATTGTACATGCAACATGCAAGCGCTGTGATAGAGCGAAATCAACAACAAGACTGCATGACTTAAGTTAGAGAGTTAGTTTGTATCCTTAAACGTTGACATATAAAATCTGCAATGTGTGTGAACTAACTTCTACACGTATAAATGTTGATAACGTTTGCGAACTGACTTCTAAACGTTTGCGAGCTGACTTCTAAACGTCTGCGAACTGACTTCTAAACGTTTGCGAACTGACTTCTAAACGTTTGCAAACTGACTTCTACACGTTTGCGAACTGACTTCTAAACGTTTGCGAACTAACTAGAGGCGTTTGCGAAACGACCGACATTCCATTTTTTTTATCGTTAGGTAAAAACAGAGCATAAGATTTGATGTAAAGAATATTATATTAGTGATATATTCATCTGGACTCACCTCAAGTTGATTTCCATTTTCCTGTTTCAGTATCACAGAATTTACCGGTGAAGAGGTAAGTTAAGATTTTGTCATTTTTGCATCATCTGTCTGAATTTTCGAACCTCTTCTTGAGTTTGAAGTTGATAATTCTCTGAACATTTCACCCGTCTTTCTACTTTCCACGCTTTTATCCTTCACTTCTCGTTCTTTCAGAGCAACATAACTGTCTTATATAGACATAAAGGACTGCCTGTTAATCTCACCAATTCCTTCAGTGCATCTGAAGAAACAATGGCTTTGACAAGACTAAATACACGAGAGGCTCTTACCCACTTCAAAATATTCTTTCAATCTCAAACTGCTCGAAATAATAACACATTTATAGAACATGTCTTAATAAGTATGTTCATTTATGTCAGCATCCTCAGCCTGCAGTTGTGTCACTGCGACTTCCTGATAAGGTACGTTTGAAAAAAAATAATATTTTATAGGAACTCGATATTTATATTTATATTTGATAGGGACAGTTTGGGGAATAAGACAGCAAAACCCTCAGATAAATCATCATGGGTTGAAAGGTGTTTAAAACAATAATCGTACTAGAGGAAACCTGTTTACTTCATTAGTCCGTGCGGAATTGAGATGTGCTCTTGAAATGTAGAAGCAGTATAGTAAAGAAAAACCTGGAATAAAAACTTTGTAATGACATCGCCCCTGAAGAGGGATTTCCGCATTGCAATTTCTTTAGGCAATAGACTATACTTTCCATCGGTGTACAGTTATGATAATCCTCTTGGTATGTTGGATAACACGGGATAAAAATTTGTAAAACACTCGCCTCCGACGTGTAAACTGATAGAAAGTTTAGTCTGTTGCTTTTAGATAATAAACTTCAATTTTCTTTGGGTTTATCAGTTGGTTTTGGCCAATCAGGGTGCGCGTAGTATCTCAGTTTTTTTATAATTGTGCTTAGACATACGTATTGTCATTGGAGAAAGAGTCAGAGGGAGCCTTCATATGAATCTTATGTTAATTTTCTCATTTGTTGTTATTTTTTCTGATGGAAAAGTTATCTGACGGCTTTTATCTCCTCAATAGAATTATTTTCACACGCTAACGCGATGAAAAATTTGTTTGTTAAGTACTTGACACCAGCGCTCATAACGTAAACGCTCTCACGGGCTATTTTACCATCCACTTAGGGTAAATATGGGTGGACTGAATAATTATGCCCCAAGAATAACTTGATCATCTTTTCAGTCTGTAGTGAGAGCATCAGATGTTCGAGTGTCCAACCGAGTCAACAAAGCTTCAGTGACACTCAAAAGATATCCCACTGTTTACAATGACCTCATCGGAGAGGTAAGAGTGTACAGTACTGAAGTTTCACGGCTTTCTTCTGAAACTCACCTCAGTTTTAATATTGTTCAATACATTTCTGGACAGATTGTCAACAAGACACATTTTGCGATCCTAAAACTGTGTTTTCCTTGGTCAGGGGTGTCAACAATCGTCCTATGCTAGAAAAATAAATAACTGTTTATTAATTCCTCTTCTCATTTTCATTTACTAAAGCTAACCCCGAGGAATATTCAAACAACAGCCAATCAAATGAATTTTTATATCACGTGTAAAGAGGTTGATCTCCTTTTTAAATTGTTTTTAAGTGACGACATACGTAAAACCAAGGAGAGTAACTTGTGTTGCGTAGATTACGCTAACTAGTTCATTAGTTGTGTTTTTAGATAAAGATTAAAACAGAAAAGACGAAACCCACATACACACACGCTTCTCGTCATCGTTATGAATAGATATGGGTATAAATTCAAGTGATATGGGAATACAAAAGTTTCTTGAATGGTGGTTCGGTCTGTCAGAGTGTGTGAATTTAAATGTAATGTGTCAATCAATTTGAAGCTTCAACATTCCCCCAGGGCAACCCCCGAGCATTTGAGCTTTAGAGGATTGGTTCATTCAAATTTCCACTCCCCAGGGACAAAATTGTTTTCAAATGCCCCACCTAAGTGTTGGATTTGATCGTCAATTTTTTTGCAAAAGGCAAGATTAGCGACCAAGACTCTTGTGGACTTTTTCTTACGAACCATCTGCTCCCAAAGTAAGCTTGTTGGCTTTAAAAACACCTCTATATTTAAAAGATAAAACACTTTTATTCTACTGAAAGGACTGGACAGTTCCAGGTTTAAATTCTCCACTTCACTTAGGAACGGTTTAAGTTTCCCACGCCCGGGGGCACGGACAACAGTCAAATGGGGTTGTGGGTCAATAAAAAGAAGATTGGGAAAGTGGGAGAAAATTGTGCGGTGTCAAATTTCAATTCCTCCAAATGTTTTTCTTGAAATGTGGGGTGCGTTTCTTGATAAAATCGAATAAAAGAAGACTGATAGAAAAATGTTACTGAGCTCTTGTTTTCTTTTCACTACCTATTTGTTGTGTATAACGTGAAACATTCTATGCAATGAAGCACAGGAATTAGACACAGCATTGGAGCTTCACTGATCCCCCTTGCTACAGTAATGTTTAGGGAACAGGGAGTGTCCCGTTCCCTGTGGCAAAAGCCCTTACTCCACATGTTTGTTTGGAGGGGAGAGTAAATTCAGCACATTTCATGGATTTTTAATAAAAGTGGACTAATCTCTTGGTAAGCAAAGATTTCAGGACCTATTGGCTTTTCAGGGGAGTCTCAGTTGTAATATCTCTTCATAGAATTGTTCTGAATTTGAATAGTTTTGTATCTGTCAGGGTTAATATTCTTTCAACTTCATGCACATATTCCAATTAATTTTTGGAATGCATGGACACCGTATTTGTGAATTGTCTTGATGATGTTGCTGTTTTTGACGTGATATTTCAGATTGATACACCCACTGTCAAGTGGCTGGATAAGAACCTGTTTATAGGCGAGGAAATTAAGGAAGTTTATGAAGAAATCACCAAGACGATTGGCACTGATCATCTCCTATTTGATCAGGTAACGCGATGCAAGACCACTCATGGAAACTCAACATGCAAAAAAAAAAAAATACATATATGATAAATATAGTGCTTTAAAATTTGATCCTACACATGGACAATGTATATGGGATAGATACATGTGTTTATTAAATGTTAAATTATCGGATTGATTGCGTTGAAGGCTGAGTAAAATGATAAGTAATTGCGCATCATGGAACTTGGAGGTTTGTCTTGGAGGAAACACATTTTTGTTCGATGTCTTTGTAGGATTTATACGTGGAAAGAACAACGGAAACAGTAGATCTTACTCTGTGCACCTCATCTTCTTCCCTATGCAAGCCCCGTGCAGAGCGTGTGATGAACAATAACTTGGCAAAAGATATTCCTCCACCATGGGGAAATGGTACTGCTGACAACTGGAGAAACAGGTAGCAAGAAAGACTTATTATTCAGGCATCATACCTTTACATCTATGAATTCCTGTTAATCTTATTTTGCTGAGACTCCCTTCGAATGTCTGTATCAAAAATAATGGCGATCGATGTATCGATAGCGCTGTTACGCAGTAACGAAACTTATTACATACATTGTGTTAGCACAGACATCATGAAATTTTTAAAGATAAGTAGCTAATAAATAGACTGATCACGAGCTCCCAAATCCGGAAGATTATTATCCAAGGACTTTGTGCTGGTCAGCTAAAAGATTGATTTTACACTAATTTTCTTCATTGAAACTGCAGCCCAAAGTTCGGTGGTCTTGGAAGGGAAGACATCCTTCAGGTACCTCCAATTCATAGTTTCTGCAAAGAGTGTAATAATTCCTTACACGTTCATCGGCCCAGAGCCATTGTGAACGAGACCCAATTAGGCTGTATCTACATTTGATCAAGAAGTAAATTTATCTGAGAAAAAAATGACCTTGTTAATCGAAGTTATCTATACCAAGTGATTTATGCCTACCTTTTGTTATGATATCAGGCAAAGCTGAAGAAAGGAGATGACAATGGTCATGGAAATAAATCCTACAACTCTTGGTTGGCTTGGTGGCGTAGCACCATCACAACCGATGACTTCCTTAAGTTTCTCTCCACTCAGGTAACAACTTCATCACAAACTACACCAAAGTAACGCCAAATGTAAACAAATATACCAGCTACACAAAAATAAATCACTTCCATTACTAAACTAAACTATAACAGCCACAGCAGCTACACTGAACTACAGGAACTACACTGGAAACACCAGTTATAGAAACTACACTGGCTACACTGACTACATGGAGCGGAAATAACATTTTAGACAAATGTTTCTCCCAATTCAGTTTTATACCATAAACATTAGGAACATTTCAGCTTGCTACACAACCGCCCATCTCATGCAGGTCATCAAATTTAAATGGAACTGAACAAATAATTTTTTCAGGAAAATGAGAGTGTCTCCAAGTTTTCTGTGCCCTTGAAAAAATGAAAAATGAATGCAAACTGACAAATTTTTTAGTCAACACTTGTGCAAAAATGCATGTTTCATTTTTTATGCTGATCTAATTCGATTGTTCTCTTGTCAATTTGCGTTACTGGAACATGTATTATCTTGACTTCTGTGTGTTACTCTTCTGATGATACTCGTATTGCACGGTAAATAACATCAACATTTGTTCTTACAGGAAAATGACTACCTGTCGCTGTTGTTTCATTTGTACGATTCTGATCATGAAGCCGATGACGGAGAGGATGGAGACGAGGCTCGACCAGACACCGTTCAGATGGCTTTGTTAAGGTCATTAAAGGCTTTATATCTCCAAGCTATTTTTTTTTTATTATTTATTTTTTTTTTTAATAGTATCTCTTTATTGCGCCGTACTCTCCAAAGGGAGATGTTAGTCTACTTACAATAAAGTTCAATAATACAATATGAATAACATAAAACGATAACTTTACCATATCCGAATACAATACGTTGATTGAAAAGCTATTACTGCTAAATTACATTTGTGCATTTAGACTTTGATACATTAAATGAGGAACTATAACAAAAGTGCAAAAAGAAAAAGAACGTAAGGAGTATTGTTTGAAGTGTTTTGGTGAGAGTTTCACTGTTGGCAGGTGTACTACTAAGTTTTTTATTTATTTACTTTTTTATTATTTAAATTTTGTTTTTATTTTATTTTGTATTTTTTAAAGAGAGTTGAGATATTTTAACCGCATTTGTCAGGAGCTAGTTATTGAAAATACCATCTCCAAGCTATACTCGGAAATCTTTTGTGAAGACGTGGTTAACTCAAAGTGTCTACGAATGTGTAGACGAATCTCAAGAATGTATACAGTGTGAGATTTTATTTAGGTGTTACACGAAAGGTTTTTCTCTTAAATTAGGCTATTTCTTGTGAAAAACGTGTTGATTTAACCAGTTCTCAACTCTGGTTTTAGGGAGCGAGAACGAAAACTAGCACAACTGAGGTTGTTAAAAAAGGACTATCAACCTGGTGTGTGGAATGTTAATAGTGTACTTCTTGGAGGACTTGGGAATGAACCTGATGTTGACGGTAAATAGATTTATAGCAAATGCAAGTATGACGACGTTCACACAACTTCCCTTCCAATCCTAAGTCCTCTAAAGCGATTGATGCAACGAAGGGCAAAAGCAACCTAAAACAGTAGTATGCTGCATGAAAACGATGATGTTTTGTTGTTTGTTCCACAAGATCCACTGTAGCCCACTCCTATCACACGAGTTAGTAATGTGATCCGTTTGGACTTGTTGCTCCAGTCATCAAACAAGGTTTTTCTTCTTTTGCTCTGTCGTTCCTGATGACCGCCTTAAAAACTCCTGTCCTTTAGTGAAGCAATCTAATGAGAAATTAGGACTAATCAAGTAGATCGAGGAGTATGGATATTTTGTGGATTCCTGTTGAGTTCCTGTTCACTTTCTCCTGTAGAGTGGCTTGGGTTCAACTTCGAATAGGCCGTTTGAGATAAATTTTTTTATTGTCTTCTGTTTTCTTAGAGGAGGAACTTCTAGCTAATCTTGAGGAAAGTCTTAATATCGTTACGCCAGACACATCAACTAAACAGACAGGTGGAGCAGCCACCTCCCCATTGTCTCACTCGGTTGGCAGTGCAAAGTCGGTGAGCTCAATGTCAAATTCTGACCGGCAGAGAGTGGTCACAAGTTCTGTGGGTGTCATACCACAAGCTGTTAGTAGTGCTGGTGCAGAAACGGCTAGCACAAGCGAGGTTTGTCACTCTGAGGGAAATGATAATTCATATAAAGATCGCCCACACCTTTTGCAGTAGGTCTATTAAGATTATTTTATTTTGTTAGGTGGGTTCATTGTCGCCTCAGGATCGTCTGGAAAGGTTATGGACATTGTTATGTATGCCTGATACACAGAGACTAGACATGGCTATAAAATACAGTGCTGAACCCTACAGCAGTAATCTTCTAGAGGTACAAGAACATTCTTGATCAATGTGAAAAAATTGAAACAAGTCGCATTTCCTTCAAATTTGATTTACTCGTGTATGGTATGGTCTTTCGATTGTCAATCAAAGGTTTGGTTCCTTGCGTTAAAAAAACTACCTTCGAGATTAGAGCCACGATATAGCTTTTACATATGTAGATATTAAGTTGCACTTCATCGGCGGAAACTCAGAAACTGTTAAAATTTATTATTTCAGGCTCTTACCTTCTGGGAAATTGCTACAGAGGTAATCTTAGACCGTGAGAGTTTAATGACTAAGCTTGAAGATTTTGAAAGAACTGCTTCCGACCCTAACAGATTCTTTTCCAAAGGTAAGTTTCGATAAAGGCGGTTTGCCATCCACATTATGTTTTAGATTCAGGCATTAGGAAACAAATTTAGCCCAAGTCATTGCTGATAGTCAAACCTACATGTAACATCTTTATTGAAATAAATCAGTTGTTCCTTCTTATAAGTGGCACTTTTTCCTTAGAAAACAATGGTTCATCTGCTTCGCGAATTAAGGAATCCAAGACAAGGGATTGGTTTAATAAGGTAGGGCAATCAAACGTTCTTCTTGCACATCTTAAATTGGCCCACAGAAGAACAGGCTTGGGGTGTTTACTGAGTTGTATGATACGAACAACATGAACAACTTGTAATGAACAAATCGTCAAACACCCTTTTTTAATGATAGAGTGTACTTAGGCTGCATGCTGGCCATTAAACCATTTGTGTGAGAGTTATTTGAAGGGACTAGTCTACAAAAACTGCTGAAATGTGCGTGAAATACTTTATTTTCCATGGGTGGCAGCGCCTCACTCGCATTGAGAGTCAGATTAAAAGATCGGTTACAGATGTTCAACGTCAGTTTGGCGACATTGTGACATTTCAGGTATGCTGTTTTTTTTTTGAATAAGCCATGTGCATTGGTGTAATGAAAGGAAATGTACAATTTGAAGGGTCAAGGAGTTGGAGGGGAGATTTTCCTGTAGATCAGTTCTTGCCTATTTGTCTTTTTCATGTTTCTAAACCCTGGTGAAACCCCGCTTTAGATCCAGAAATAGTCATTCCATGAAGACTTAGTCATTTCTTTTTGTGACCAACTGTTTTGGCGTTGAAGTATCCCTCTCACGAAGGGCTAAAACTTGACACTTCAGCTTAGAAACTCTTAACAGTGGCCAATTTACATAGTCAGTTCGGTTGATAAAACCAAATTGTTTTGGGGTTGGTTTGGTTAATAAGGACTTTTCCTGTTCTCTCGGTCACCATTCCATGCGGTTTTCTCTCAAGTTGTTGACACAGAGACACTTATTGTAATCATTCTTGGGAGTAACTTCATTTTGGTTTACCCCAATATAACGCGACTAAGAAAAAGGAAACGAAGGAATAAAATATGTCATGACTTATGCTATATTATATAAGATTTCAAAACCACGGTCACGATTCTGATTTATTTTGCTGTAACTGACTGAATTATTGGTGAGTTTTTTTGCTAATTCTTTGACTATGAGGGATTCTTATTTGAAATCTATGTAATCTAGAGTGAAGCTTCCCTGGTACATTTATCCTTACTATGATTGCCTTTTTCTTACAGAAATTGTAAACCATATCGTCACTTTGTTTGACTTTTTCAGGGTCGCCCTTACCTGGAGAAAATAAACCTGGATCGAACCGAGATGTTTTATTGGCTACAGCAGGAGCGACGACAACATACGATGGACAGAGAACTTGTCAAGATGAGGGAAGTCACACTTAACGCTACTGATCTTCCTCCAATACAAGCGCACATGATATTGTAAATAGAATGCTGATTATGGTATAGAGTTTGTAATAAAATATGATGAAAATCTGAGGAAGGTTCTTAATTTTTGCTACCTTAAATGGCTGTTTTTCCATTTTGTGGACATCCTGGAGGACAATTCCAAGCATTTAGGAATCAAAATTTCCAAAATACTTAACAGATTGCATAGTTTGTGTCAAACAAACTTCACCTACGACTCCTAAATGGCCTAAAGTGATTTTTCTTGGACATTATTTCAAACTTGGTAATTAATGAAAAGCTCAGCTACAAAACTGAATTTAATTTCTACCTGCCCCATACTAACAATATCTTTCACTAATCCACTTCAATGGGTTATGGCATTTACGACCTCTATAAGACAAGACGAATCCCCTCTTGCTGTTGTCGGGAATTGAAGAGAAAACAACCGTGGCCCCATACCCTTTGATATGTTTCACGATAGGAGACGTGATGGCACCGCAAAACCGGTGCCTTCATAGTCCCAACGTATCACACTCAGCAATGTAGTCATAGCGAAAATTGATACGTGCTTACCAAAAACCAGTTACGAGTATAACTGCTTGTGGTACAAAAGTACAGCACAATAACTAAGGATTCTCGGTTCCAAAAGTAATTGTGCTCCTCAAAGACAGGTTAACACTTAGCTTGCATGACTTGATAAGCCAACTTTTAGGAACAGTGGTTCAGTTATAGTCTTATTTGAGCCCCTGTGTTAAACAATTCAATCTAAGCTATAACTTATCACAGCACCCACCATAAAAATAAGCATGACGTTTTGCTAAATTGAAATCAGATTAGACTGACATGGTTCTGCCAAGCAATGGCTTAATTGTTTTAATGGAAAGCCTGCAACGTAACGAATTGAGCGGTACGACCATACGCTGATGTTTAGGAGTGGCCACTCTTCCCAGGACGTCAGTTCTGTCAGCCATACCGCTGTCAGTCTTAAGGGTTGTGTCATGAAATTCCTTTTTTTTCCAGCACTACAGATACCAGCAAATGACACACTGTGCAGAGGGTATGGTATATCACTGTTACTGCGGCTGCCACTGTCTCGGCCTCTAACACTGTCACTGTCCATTCTTTGTCTCTGTCACTCTTATGTCTTGGTTATCAGTCGTTTTGTACCAAGGGTCGTCCCGTGACCACGGTCATTTTGTACCCAGTCGTACCCAGTCTGGTCATTTCATACCCAAAGTTATAAAGTATGTTTTCCATGTTAGGTATGTTTAAAGTAAGGTCGGTTTCTAATTGCGAATAGCAATATTACCTGCATAAGTAAGTTTTTGACGTGGTGTCCATTTTGAAGCGTGACCACCAATTGTCATGCACAACGTGTCGTAATAACATTCAGTTTGTTTGCTCACAGGTTGGTTGAAGTTTGTGAATCCTTTCAGTAATTGTTTCAGCAGAGTCTGCTCATTATTGAATGCTTCCCATTGACTAATGGTATTGCTTACAGAATTATAGAATAAATAAACGATTTTATTACCGTTAAGAAAAATGAAAGAAAATATATCTGTCACTCTCATTATTTATGTTTCTGTTTCTGTCACTCTCACTGTCACTGTCACAAGGTCATTGTGTCTCTCATATTTACTCTAGCTTTCTTTGTCATTATTTCACTCAGTGGTATGGGCACTCTGAATTCCACTTCTATGGTCACTTTCTCTTTCACAATTTTTTTTCACTCTCACCATTATTGCATCAGTCACTGTTTATGTCATTCTCATTTTCACCGTCATCGTCATCGTCACCGTCTCTGTCACTGGCCTTGGTAGCGTTTCAGTCACTCTCAATGTCTATGTTACCTTCTCTGTTACTGTCACTGAGTCTGTCAGTGTCACTTCCTGTCACAATCACTGTCGCTTTTTCTGTCACTCACATTGCCACTGTCACTGTCAATGTCACTTACAATGTCACTTGCTATCACTGGCAGTGTCAGTGTAACTGTTTCTGTCACTAGGTAATATGGTATTATCAACTGAGTTGATAACGTAAATTGGCCACCTTGAAGAGTTTCAAAGCTGACGTTCCAAGTGTCAGCCCTTCGTCAGAGCAAATGGAGGAATTGTGGGCTGTGTGTGTGTTTACGTGCAGAAAATGGAACTACGCTATTGGTGGGAACAGGTAACGAGAAAGACAAGAATAAACTAGTTGAATGAAAAGCGTTCGTTGATAACGTGGGGATTAAAAGTGTCGATTTGAAAGATAAATTTAGGAAAAATACATTTTTGTTCTCGGAATCGGTCACCCAGTCGTCTTCCTGTTTCAACAATGTATAGCTTTTGGCAAGAAGTGCAAGTTATGCAGTAGATGACATTGACGGATCGATCATTAATCTTGATGGATCTCTCAGGTCCCGACATTTCCTCCACCTTATGAATGAAAGGACAGATCTGCATCATGCGCAGGCGCATTTGAAAGTTCCAGGCAGGTCATTACCTCTGACCACAGAGTTGCCTATGATTTTGTCACGTTTGAATGACATAAGTGGAAGTTGCGAAAAGAATGTACCAGTCTCTGAATCATTTTGTAGTAATTAAAAGTTTTTAAGAATGATATATTTAATTGCGTAGTTGTGAGGGTGAAATGAGAAAGTGAATGGAATGCGATTTGTAGTTTCCAATGTGCTGTTTGTTGTGCTGATTGTCTATCAATTCCTAGGGTGCGGTGGTGGCCCGCTTGGACGACAGAAACAGGATAGTCACCTTTCGGGAAAAAAAATGACACATTGCCTCTGATTTGTCGCATTTGTGACACTGTCTGTGTCACTGGCTTCGAAACTGTTTCTGTTGTCTTTGTCGTACTCCCTCACTGCCATTGTCTTTGTCATTGTCACTGTCTCTGTCACTTGCACTGTCAGTGTCACTGTTTCTAACACTGTCACTGTCCCTCTGAATGTCAATGTCACTGTCTCTATCGCATTCACTTTCTCTGTCACTCCCACTTCATTTTCATTATCACTGTCATTATCACCATCATTGACCGTGTCACTGTCACTGTCCCTGTCACGGTCAGTGTCTTTTTCATTCACTGGTACTGTTTGTGTCACTGACACTTCATTGTGACTGTCTCTGTCACTGTCTCACTCACTCTCATTGTCTTTTAACGCTCTTGATCTTCCTCCGATACAAGCACACACGGAATTGTTGATAAAATGTTTATTACTGTATAATGTTTATAACAAAATGCGATGAAAATCTTTGAGAAAGGTTTTCAGTTACTGCTATCTAAAAACTGCCGGTTTTGTTACTTTGTGAACATTTTAGAGAACAATTTCAAGGGGTTTATGGGAATCAAAATTTCCGAAATACTCGACAAATTGCGCAATTTATGTCAAACGGACTTCACCTACAACTCCTACGTGGCTTCAGGTGAACTTTTTTGGACGTTCTTTCTAACCAGGTAATTAGTAGAAGGCTCTTAACTACAAAGCTGGATTTGCTTTTTACATGCCTTATACTAAAGTTATCTTTCACTCATCCACAACCGATGGGTTATGGCATTTCCGACCTTTATAAGACAAGATAAATCCCTTCTTGCTGTTTGCAGAATCTGAACGGAAAACAACTGTGGCCATGTTGCCTTTGACGTGTTTTAGGATAGGAGACGTGATGGACCCACAATACCGCTGACCCACTTCATTGCCCAACATGTCGCACACAGCAATATAGTCATATCTGAAAAAAAATATATTGTCCTAATTAAATAAATAGATATGTGCTTTCTAAAAACCAGTTATGAGTAAAATTACTTTGGTCTCCCTTTACGACCTAGGCCATAAAAAAGTTCACAAACCAGGAAAATCGGTGCAAAAAGCACAATGACTAAAGATTTTCGGTTCAAAAAGTATCTGTGCTCCTCAAAGATAGGTGTTAACATTTAGCTTTCATGACATAGTCTCAGACGACTTTTAAAGACAGCGAGCTAGTTATAGTCTTATTTGTGCCCTGGTTTTAAACAATCGATGGACCTCGAGATTTTTAGGTAGGTGGGTCGTCGAAAAAAACAATGTCTTTTCATTCTTAGCTACAACTCTTCATCGCCCATAGCATAAATATTAGGATGACGTTTTGCTAAATTGAAATCGCTTTAGAACATGGTTCTGCGAAGCAATGTCTTAACATGTTTTAATTGCAGGTCCAGTGTTGCTGAAACATACTGAGCGGCATGACTACACCCTGATATTCATCAGGAGAGGCCACTCTGCTCTATCGGCCATCTGATGATCTCAAAGGTTACAACATGAAATTAATTTTATGGCCAGCACTTTAGCCAGCACTTTAGACATTGACAAACAACACATCGTGCTGAGTGTATGGTAGAAATCTTACGCCTATCCTTGGCATTGATTTGAATATGAGCGAATTTGAATAGACGCGGACAGCTCAAGGCTGGGAAAAAGCTCTCCGAACAGTCTTGAGCACAAAGGTTGCAGCTACTAGCAGACGATCAAGAGGATCGAAAAAATGTTCTTTAGCAACAAGTTTCCAAAAAAATCTGAGAAAGCCACTTACACGCAGTTTCTGTCCTCCTCTAAGTACACTTTATGGAAAGTAAAACTGATGAGGTGGTAATCACTTGGTAAGATGATGGACCATATACATGTTGTGTTGGAGGGATACCCTATTGGGTATCCTGGTGACATCAACTGGCCCTTGACAGACATCAGCACACCTCCACAAACGCCTACAAAACAAAACACACGAGAATGGCAACAAAACGTATAAACGATTGAGTCTCATTCGAGAGCAAAATTTTTCAAAGGCCACGCTTATAAATACCTAACTGGCTTGTCTACTTCTGCGATTTTTTCTGTCTTGTTTATTTTAGATACACTTATGATAACCCATTTCGTCTCATTGTGGATTCTTCCAGAGTTCCAATTACTGTCAACGGTTGAGATATCTTGATATATAATAAGGAACCAGCCACGTTTTTCCTGATGAAAAATAATTACATCTCTTTTTTTGCAGATTTCTTAGCAATAGGCAAAGCGCTTATTTGTCCAACGGAATGAATAATATCCCTTTTCCCTTATCAGCCCTACCCTGCCCTCGTGACTATGCTGAATGAACATACCTGGTTTTGTTGTAGACATTACTGGCGTTGAAATATTCCAACGTGAACTGACTGTGTTTGTCGGTACTGTGTCCCTGCCATTCTTCGTTTCGTTTCTCTTGCTCGACTTATTATCAACTAATGGAGCAGCTGTTGACAAGCGTTTTTCAAGTTTTTCTTTTCCTATAACTGTTGATAGTGTTCCTGTCACCATAGAGGATCCCGTCGCAGTTGTAGACACCCTTAAGTCTATTTCAGTGGTCAATGCCGAAGAACTTTCCACAATAGTAGCCTTTCCTTGATTTTCTGTTGTATAGCGTGCATCCTTTTTTAGAGATGTTACTTCAGTTGTACTTTCCTCAGCTTTCGTTGGTAGAACTGGATTTCTCGTTGCTACTTTCTTCAGTGAATTTGTCATCCACATTTGCTCGTTCTCAGTCAGAGTTCCCCTTATCAAGGTTGTCCTCTTAGTCGTTACCTTTGTTACCTTATCGGAGTTTTCCAATACCTGTGCAAGCATTTGCTTCGGAGATTGAGTAGTGGGTTCTAGCAGAAGAAAAAAAGGAAATTGACCTTAAGGAATACTAAAAGGTTGACAGTTAACAGCTAGTCTTTGGCTCTAAGTCGCTGATAGCGATGTACAATGCGCTATAGACTGTACTTCTTGTGTGTATCGCCTCACTAAAAAAAGTTTTCAGTTTTCCATGATCAGTGATCAGTATCTCCATGATCGGTGATCCATAGACCTTTTGGCTTTTTGTTGCCTTTAGGCCTTTTTGTTGCAATTCCGCGACCGCTCAGACCTATCTGCTTTCATTAAAAACGTTCGCTTAGGTTGTTTTCATCTCCTCTCCTGTTCTAAACAACAGACGAGAGCATGCGCTTAATACCGCAAAAGTGAGCGAAATTTATTGGCTCGCAACCATTTTTAAAATGCTTTCTCGATTATTGTGAATTGTTATCATTGACGCCACTCAAATATAAATTAATCGATACTCACAAACAGTATACTTATTGTATGGTGCTGACTATACAGAAAAACTTAAATTTTCAAAACTTTAACAGTCCAAAATGTTACCAAAGTTGTTCACCACGCGTATTGCACTTTACTCTGCCGATTGATTTAACAATATATTCAAGTTCAAAAAACCTTTGTTCCAAGGAGGAAGAACGTGCTTCTAATGTTGTATGCTTCTGTTATTATCTACTGATTAAAAGAGTCCCAAGGTACTTACTATTCATAGTACAACCAGACGACGTTCCAACACGGTATTCCTGGGTTTTACTGATACGAAGGACAACCGTGGAACCAGAAACACATCCTTGAAGACCTTTGCCAATAATTATATTTGCTGGTGACGGAAATAGTTCTCTTAAGAGTGCCACGTAAAACCTTATTGGAGGAGCTTTGTCTACACCAAATGAAACAACACCACGGTAGGTGCTGAGCCAAAGAGAGCGCCTCTTGCCATCGCAGAACCCTCCTTTTAATGGCATAGCAAGATTCAATTGGCTCTTACCGTTAGGGGTACTGTATGACATCCGAATGGGGCCTATGTCGAGAAGCGTGAGACGCAAGAAATGATTGGTGTCCTTACTCTTTATCTCCACCAATTGCCCCGTGCAAGTTTCAGTGGAGAATCTCAATTGAATATCAAAGCCCTTTACTGTATGGTAAACTGGGAATCGTTGAGTTTTCTTGCTGCCATAGTCTTGGAAGATGCCCTCCAAATCTGAAAAATAGACACAATTTGTTACAGCCGAGTTTTCCTGAAATGACTGTTTTGCTCTATCCTACGAGAAGGCAAATAAGTGATACATTTCAGTATCAAGTCAAAGGGGATAAAATGAACCAATCATTTTGACTGCAACCATTCATATAATTACTATAATTCCCGCAGAACTTTAATGCTGAGATGGCAAATGATCCCCGACAAAATAGGATTTAAGTAAACAATCGCTTCAACAAAATTCTCCTCTTGGCTTTAACAATAATGAACTTCTGTTGCATCATTGCAATACCATGTAGTCACAAGCAAGAAACGCGCAGGACATTCTTGTATCCAATTTCCAAAAACTTACAACAAAAGCCGACTAATTCGAGCCCTTTTTAAAGTGTTTGATTTGAAAATATGTTTTTCTTGACTAGAGGAACTTTTGACACGAAAAAGATGAAATAACTAGTGTCGAGGTTGTCCTTAATTTCCTCCTAGAATAGTTGGAATCGAAAAATTGTCCATTTTTCGATTTTCTTCCCGCGGTTTAACTCACCCCTCCCCCCTCCCCCTCCCCCTCCCCCAGCTCGTCACTGCTATCTTCACAGTCCATATGTCCATCGCATTTGAATTGGTCGTAAGACAAGAGGCAGACTTAGCGCAACGGAAAAACCCAGTTTCACACGCTGTGGAAACGAAGAAACCTCATATAAGATCGAACAACTTTCAGAAATTTTCATACTGTTGGCAACAAACTGACAACCGTCATGAAACTATGAGGCAGTGTGCATTAGGCATTTAGGTCGTATTGAGTGACTATTGATTAGATCGTGGTTTCCGTCAGCTGACAATCAAAGCGCGGATTCTAAAATGCAATCACCTGAGTTATTGTAAGACAGAGGCCTATCACACATGTGAATTCAAAATAACTTTGTTTCTTCTAAGTGATTCTAGAGAAGAGGATTTATTACTAAAGGAATTGTCAGGAGTCGTTAGTAAGAAGAATTTGACATACCTTGCGAAGCGTTCAGCTCCGCATTTAGGATGCAGAAGATCAGAACCCATAAGCCTTTTTTTAAGAGAGCGGACCCTACAACACACATACAGAAGAAAAAAACAAGTATAAAACGAATGCACTCATCTTTGATCAATTTAACATATTGAGAATAGATTGACAAGGTCTCCTGTCCATGATTTATTTGTAATATTTCTTAAAAATTTTGAGTTTGCCGTGAGGCTGCCCAACGAACAGCGTGCTCCTCGTTCACAAAATACCGATTTCTTCAGTAAAGAGCCAATTATTTTACGTAAAGTGAGACATGATATTGATTGATGGAATGACTATCATAATGATGCGTCCATAACTTGCAACCGTCCTTCAGTTTTACTCATTGGCACTCAAAAACACCACAAGGAAAAAACAAGCGTAACTATTTCAAGCGTAGTTGTTTCAACATTTTATTTACATCATTAAGTTATGCCCTCTTACATACCCCTACGTGATCTCAGCGATTCGAGAAAAACAAATTTTAGTACTCTTATTTCATATTTCCGTCGCTAACTTGTAAATTGGTTGCATGCAGAATCAGCTGAATTTGAGCCGAGGAAGAGCGGTTTTTGAGCCAATTGGCGATTCATCATATCGCGGTTTTCGGTAAAGGGTATTACTTTAAAGTTTAGCGTGCCAATGTTATCTTCTAATACCTCCCGGACGCAATCCGACACCTTTGACGCACTATCACAGCGAGCACAGTGTACCACACTTGTAGTTTCTATTTTCCTATTCTGTCTCTTTAAAAAATAAACAGATTCGCATGTATATGTACCAGTTTCTTAGCACGCTTTTGTAACAATTGCTTCTAAAAGTAAGTTGTTTATTATGATTGAACTAAAAAAAAAAGAAAGGCTCCTGATCTCATGCGCCTGTGTTATGTTGCTGCTCGACCGCCTGCTCTGATTCCAAAAAAAACAAAACCTGAACTTAAAATTCTCAGATTTCGGGTGCCAACGTCGAGATTTCTCTTCGAGACAAAATTTTCCACACACTAATGGCTTATTCTCCTGGTCCAAAACGGGAGTATAACACACAAACATGATTTATAATAAAGAAACAATCCTCTTTCTAAATCAATCATTTTGATCTCTCTTTCGACATGTGACACGCGTTACTCCACTTCCCTTGACCAAAAAAGTAGTTCTGTCCATTTGCGAGAAGAACAAGCACGCTTCTTTCATAATATGATCTTAACCCATCATCTTGAAAAACGAAACACCCATGATATCACTACTGCAAAGCTACATACGACGCTTATAAGTCACATGAAATCCTTGTATTGAGATAATCACATTATGATGTATAAAATTAAACAAACAAAGTCATTATCGTACTTGAAATACACCTCTAGCCCTAGAAGAAGGAAAGTTCTCTCAGACTCACCCATATGTTACTATACTGTGGTAGGTGCGCTGAGCAAATAATAGGAAAGATCGACGAGTTTTACGAATGACGACCAAATGTCGAAATGGTTGACACGAACTGTGTTGTCGACAGGTCAGGTGTCAAAAGAAAATAAAAGACCTATAATTTGATGAGCTCTCTGTCACTTTTTTCTGTGTAACGTTAAACTTGCAGGATACCATACTCTGGTCGAATGCGGCGATAGTCTACAATGGGAAAGGATTTAGTTATAAGGAATTTGTCACTTTACCAAATAACGTACATGAGTAACATCGACGTCACAAGAAGGAAAGCATTAAGGAAAGATGTCGCCACGCTGGAAAGAGTACAGAGAAAAGCAGCTCGTTTTTGTCTTTAGAATGAAAACTGTACAACTAGTGTTACAGATATGATCAGAGAACTAGGGCGAGACACATCAGAAACAAGACGAATGAAGAATAGTCCAACACTAATTTATGAAATGAGTCATAATCTTATAGACATTAAATCAGAAAATTAGCTGAAATCTCATAGGGAGATGAGATATTCAAATAAAGAATACCAAAAACTAACAAAGATTTTTTTTCCCTAGATCTGTATGATCTAACATAACAAATTATTTTAGATAGACTTTAGATAATTATTTGAAGATGTCTCATTACAATTTTTCAGTTATCAAGATTATTCATGTTATTTCCATATATTCTTTCATAAAGTTGGTGTGATATCACATAGAACTCAATACAATGAAGAAGCAGGTGTAGAAGAAAAGAGGCACCATATTTCACTGTGGAAAGGTTCAAGACAAGATACACTTCTTCGTAATTACTTGAAATTTCACTTTTCCCCGATTTCTTTCAGAGATAATACTTCACTGACTCAAAGTGAAATTTCCTAACTTTTCCCTGACCTTGAAGGACTTTTTTTTAACCTGTTCTGTGACAAACATACCTATCGGCCAACGAGAGTATGCTTGGTACGCAAAATATTTAATAAAAGGAATGCGTACCTGGTCTCATGCGGATAGACATGCAAAGGGAGCTTTTCTAAATTACCACTTAGAGAAGAGTTAGCTAAGATATAAATTTGCATAATCTTTTATTTAAAAAAAATACATATCTACATGTATGATACTTTAAAACCTTTCTTTCCAGGTTAAGGCGAGTTAACAAGGTACAAGGACACCTTCGAAAATCTTGCAATAAAAGTAAGCAATACCATAAATGTTCCTAAGCTCGCGTTTCCAAGTTATCGATTGTTTGTTCTCTTAATTTTGAATTATTCTGACCCTTTTAATGCAGTTTTCATGAAATCCATCGCATGCATCAAATAGCAAACACCATGGCTTAGGACCTTTTTTACACGAACCTGGGTTGAATCATAATAAAGAGTCGGTTGAATGTGAACCTATGACACAAGCGCGGGCTGCCAATCTGCACCAGAATATGGTTTGATGGAAACTAACCCGCCTCAACCTTTATACCAACGAAAAACCTCATGACATGGACTTCAAGGGAGAGACAAAAAGGTCAGGTGTAACCGAATAATGGTAAGTCATGATGTAGAAATAACAACAGAGACGAAACAGAAATGGGTGTTTGGTTTTAAGTGTCTACTAAGATGGCGTTTGAGCCAATATCTACAACAAAATATTAGGACATTTCTTCAACCCCACAAACCGGCTCATCCCAGGTTTCGACAGAGGGCCGGCTCGGCCCGAGGTCTTACTCAAAACAAAATATTTAGCTGCTGAAGGGTTACCCTTCGTGGTGATTCAATCCGGGTTAAGTAACTAGCCTGATCGTGTAAAGAGACTCTAATACAACAATACTAAATCACCAAAAAGCAATTAAAAAATTATGTATTACCAAACACAAGGGGATTGTGCTCATTTCTTAGGAAGTCATTTCAATGAAGATTTTTTAGATCATAAGCACACATAAGTTGTACTATTTAGAGGCCACATATAACCATCCTTACAGATAATAATTTACTGGACCATTGTGGACTGGGTATTAGTCTATTGCACGGATCAGAGTCAAGAATAGCGGTAGAGTGGTCTCACTGATAATTTTTGTGCTTGTTTCTCTCCCATAAACGTGTAAATTTTTAAAAATATTCCGTTATGCCTAATTATCATGATCATTTTGGTAACAAAGTCTTTCACTAGCAATCAAAAACTCCTCGTTCGCTCAGTTCAGAGCTATCTTCTTCAGATTCAGACCCCATCACTATCAGAATCACTGTAAAAGTCCTGCAAAGTAACTCGGTTGAATTTGTACTTTTGCCTGTCAAAGCAGTTCATGTAAGACCACCATCCCCTTGTCCTACCCACTGAAAAATCTTTCCGGCCTCCATGGAAATCGCTCATTTGGTTGCGCTTGTCTCTGCGGTAGGCACGCACGCGTAGGGTTATACTGATAAGGAGCAGAAATACAATAGGAACTGCTAGGACTGACAGGATGATGAGAGCGGGAATGATACCAGCAGTTATGTCAACATTGCTGTCACTGCTCGAAGTGTCGTCTTGCGGTCCACTAGCAGAATTGTTTTTCACAGTAACTGTTTCAGTTGGGTTTGGACTGGACTGCCCAATGGTACCAGTACTTGAAACAGAGGGAAGTGAAGGGTCCTTTCCATATTTCTTTAGTTGATCTGGATCGGCAGACGCTCGGTGAGTTGACTTGCCTTTTGGGGACGTATTTTCACTCTCTCCCTGCTGGGGATTAAATTCGTCTATACTTTTCCCTGGAATAGAGTGACTGCCTTGACTGACCACACGATCACCTGTTTTAGCGGGTTCAATATTCAATGGAGTAGTTGAAGTCTTGTTACTGAAAGAATCTTAAAGAAACATCAAATAAGGGCATTTAGCAAAATAAATGCATGTGGACGCGTGCAGACGTGCATACAAAGCAAGACTTTCCAAAAACGCGTCCTTTAGTTTAGAACTTTCCAAATACGTCAAAGTAAACGTCTGGGCATAAACCATAAATATTAAACAAATACCAACCGACTTGACGTTTTGACGATAGTTTCAAAATTCTACTGGGACTAATCTCTACCACATAGACATCACTTCCATCGACAGAGGATGCCACATCATGAGGATAGACTAAGGCCTGCACCAAATAAGAAAAATAACCTCAGTTAAATACTTATTGTCTCAAAAGGAAGGAGAGATAATAAAAATGGGACTGGACTCTCTGGCCTCAAACAAGATGAACAGCGATTACCTGTTCTTCGTCAGAAGGCCATGTCTGTAATATGACTTTGTCAGCGACTCTGATTGTGAATCCCTGAACCGGAACATTTTGGACTCCTTTTATCTGACTTCGTCCACTGACAACGTGTAGGACTCCACCCTCTGAAACAAAAGATTATCTTCGTGAACTTACCAAAAGAAACCATCAGGAGAAACTGACTTTCTTGGACAAAGAAACAAAAACACGTACGTTTACTGACGCTGTAATCCACGGCAAAAACCTTTCCCCCAAACTCTGGCAGAATTATTTCATCGACAAAGGTCCCAGAGATAGAGCTAATCGATTGAACACGGCCATTCTCCCTATCGGCAACATACAGCGTGTGACTTGACTGATCCAAGGAGAGACTGTGTGGGATTAATAATGAACCTAGGGCAGGAAGACCTTACCAACATAAAAACAAAAACAGTGCATAGTCCATTAGGAAAGAGCTAATGGATCAGAAAAATCGAAGGAAAAACAAAAGGGCGAGACAAAAGACCGATATTACCTGGACCAGAAAGGGACCTTTCCCCCCATGAACTCAACAGCTTTCCATCAGCAGAGAACTTTAGAATACGAGAGTTGCAGTACCTATTACAATGAAAAAGGAAACAAACACTCATATAATAAAACAAGTAAAAGAAATAAAAATATTAAGAACAAAACTTTCCCAAAATATGCGTAAAAAGTGAGATAGAGGTTTATTGTAATACAACGTGCAACGCAATCTCTAGCTTAAAAGCGGGATTATATCAAGGAACCCATTAGCAGACATGATTTTTTAAAGATTCTTCAACTCATAGACCTTGTGTGTAGGTAGGGTTTGCCGCGAGTACAAGGTTTTTCCCCTTCTTTTTTCAGCCGGCATGCATCTATAAAGTTATTGTACCCAAAAGCTTTAACCGAGGTATTCTATAAATGAAATATAACAGAATAGTGAAGTGTAATAAAGGTAATTTAAGATATGCCAGCGTACCCATCTGCAACAAAGAACTCTCCATTTCTGTCCACAGCCACAGAGGTAGGTTGGCAGAATCTGGATCTATCAGAGCCTGGTACCAATTTGTCCCCCAACGACAACATGAGCTTAGTACTCCTTCCAAGAGGCGAAAACTTGAAAACCTATAGCAACAGAAGTGTTGTTATCAACTCGATTTTCTATGGCTAGCCTTTCTTAAAACCAATTACTGTTGTCGAGTTAGGACACTACGGTACGTAACACACAACTTTACAAACCTGATGACTTCCTACATCGGTCAGCCACAGATTATCTTCATGGTCAACTGTCAAACCATGAGGTAAGAAAAACCTGCGGTAGCATAATGAACGCGAAACGAGATTCAAACAGTATATCTCAATGCCGTTAAAACAAAACGTGATTGCTTAAAAATTTACAATGTAGAATGTTCAAGAGAGTTATCAGAGTCGCATTCCTCATCATTATCATGCAAAGCTAAAAAAGGCTTCACATTATGTACAACAAAACCTTTGTTAGATACAATTATTTCAAGTCTTCTCTAAAAACAGCCAGGTTTTCCAAATCGCACCTATCAAAGGGGTTTCAGGTCAACGTTCTATACTAAACTCTGTTCTCATTATGGGTTAAAAGTTTTAGCAGTTTGTTTACTTACATGTCTTTGCCCCAAAATCCCCTTATTTTTCCAGTCAAGGAGTCTATGATCCACACGGTGTGTTCTTTGATGGTACCCTCAATGTCAGCATTTTGAAATACATGAGAAGAGTCAAATGTACTGTGAAATGAGAGTCAAGAAATAAGACCTTAAATGAACAAATCGCTAGCGAGCTAAACCATTGAAAGCGTTATAAATAGCAAGCGTCCTCAGTAGTGCTAGGATCGGCACAAAGAAGGAACAAAGAAGAATTCTATTACATCCATTAGTACTGTCCCATGCTCGTGACAAAAAGGACGACATCTTTCTTTTTCACCAATACCAAGGATAAAGTTCATTATCTTTCGTATGCTATTTCCTTACTCAACTTTCGACGTTGTTGATCTTAGTCTTGCAAACGATAATGTGAACTTAAATGCGATAATGGCCTCGCCTATTATCGAGTTCTCTGTAGCTCAATAACAGAACATCAGAGCGCGAATCCGAACGTCTGTCAAACACTCGCAACAAAAACGAATAACATCTTACTTATTTCACGATTGTGCTAATTATCAACAATCTCTCATATTCCATGAATGAAAACTACTTTCTATAACTCTATGGAAATGTTCAGTTATTTTATTCTTAACACTTTAACTCCCAAGATCTCATTACTAATTCTCCTTACTCTCTGCCATACAGTTCTTGTGATGTTAGCGTGGAGAAATTGGTATTGGATCAACCTATAATCCCCTAATTGATATTTTTCTCTATTCTCATCACTTGTCTGCTTGATATTGTGAGAAGAAATTCTGTCTTGGTCACTCGTGGGAGTTAAAGGGTTAATGATCTGGAATTTGTTTGATGACTCACTTTTTATTCCACGTTCTGCTGCCGCGATGAAACACAACAACCTGCCCCGTGGAATCTAGTGAAACTCCTGTTACTTCTCCCAGTTTACTCGTTTCCATTGCAGTGAAGCTTGGCCAGTCTAACACCACCCGAAGTTCCTTTTCATCTGTGGATTGAGTTACAGGAAGAACTGGTGTAGATGTTGTGACAGGAATAACAGACTGACTTTTTTCAAAAGCGGAAGGTTCCTGAGGAGGTTTAGTTCCGACTTGTACTTCTGCTTTGGCTGATGGCAATTCCTCCTTAGCAGATCCTAAGTCAGAAATATCAAATCCTTGACTTTTTCCATGAGTTGGTGAATCAGTTGATACTTTGAGAGAGACAGGCACCAAAGCGGTTTCTTTTTCGGGTGTCTGCTCTGTTGTGTTGCGCTCTGCTGAAGTGCTAATCATGGGGACACTACTTTCTCGATCCTTCAAATCTTTTGAACCTGTTAAAGGTGTATCAGAGTCGGGAGGGAAATTCTTAAAAACATTTGGATGGTTTTGCTGCCCACAGTCTCCACCAGAATACTTCAAACGACCTGCGCTGCTGTAGTACATAATATAAAAATTGCACATCTCATCATCGCCGGATGGCCTGAAACATAACAGCAGAAAAGACGTTTAATTCTTCTTTTCAACAGCCTTTTACTCTCATTACTTATGGCCCTACATTCACCATAATATATTTTTGTAGACCCACTGAGGGAAGCTTGTGACCGTTTAATAACAATTTGTACGTAAATTTGATAATTACCTATCAGATCAGGGGCTTCTGATACACTACTGTACACTACACCCGTAGTTAGCTCCAGAACTTCAAAAGCACTTTTAACTCACAAGTTATTCTAACTTTTCCTGTATCTGAGCCCTGTGACGTTCCTAAGCTCAAAGTTGATATTCTCTGTTATACATACAAACACATGGCTTACCCCATGTGAATGACTCTTTGTATGTCATGTCCTTTCGAATCATATGTGCAACGAGCCGCCTGAAAAATCATAATGTAGAACACAACTAATTATTATCCACTAAGGACAACGTAACATTTCACAGACTATAACAAAGCATCACTCACCAACATATCTCCCTCTTTAATCTCAATTGTTGATTCCATTGGATAGAAGGCCTAGAAGGCAATCAGTCATCAAAATTTCAAAATATTACGGCCGGCTATTCAAACAAAGGTTACCCCTTATTTAACAATACCGCGTTCTTAACAACCCTCGATGGACCTTTACTCTGAATATGTATTTTTGTGCACAGTGTCAAGAGGAACTATAGTCGAACTTCCACCAATGACCATTGCTGGCCATGATTTGCCATTACTGCGTTTGGAAACCCATCATAATCACAGTGAAATTTGAAGAGTTGATTAGGAGATTACCAAAATGTAATGATTGTAAAACACTGAAAAACTACAAGTAACTCCGTGCCAAGTACGAATTGCGTTTGGTGGAAAGATCAGGCCCAATGGTATCTTAATAACAACTAAATTTGGAGTTTTCTTGAAACATGGACCTTGTTATGTTGAGGACAAAAACACATGGAAATAATGGCCCTCTATTAATAAGCATCCCTCTATGACTCAATTCAGAAATGGGCTTTCAACATGTCAAGTTTTATACTAACAATGTCCACTTGCTGCTAAAATACTAGTTCCAAACAAGCAAAAAGAAGAACAAAATTAGTTTTTGTTAAAATGTATCAGATGAGAAGGTTGCAAATTTCATTTATCAGTTGTGTAGAATGGGAAAGAACTCATAGCATGTATGACTTCCTTTGATGGAATTAAGTGTGCAGATGTGCACAGGCCATGCAAGTGTTCACCAAAAGAAATATGACAGAATATAACCAACAAACAAACAAACAAACAACATTATTCACCTGTGGAGCCTGAGGGTTTCCCTTTCCTAGCAAAGTCCATACACCATTGCGAATCCTGTAACCAGTTATCACTTTTGCTAAAACAGATGAAAAGCATATAAGAACCTTTTATGAGTGAAAACATACAATGAGAGTTTTATGAAGGTTGCATCTTTCTAGGCCTACATTAAAAGTTTCAGGTAATTAACCATGCAACTACTTTAGGCTAACTCTCATAAGTTGTGAGTGTATTTCTTCTAAGAGTTAAATGAATCTAGCTGTTACACCTACAGTTTATGGCAAAGAGATGAGAGATTAGTAGGCGTAATTCACTATCAAATGGTCGCAAACATGATTTTGATAGCTTTTTTTTCTTCTCCCTAAAATCTAAATTCTACATTAAACTCAACAATTCCTGGAGGCAATACTAGTATGTTACGTCTTTTCAATAGCTCTTAACCTTTCACATACCAAGTTTGTGAGCATGAGTGCGAAATGCAAAAGCAAACATCGGCTCAGGTTCATTGTATGTACAACCCACATCAACATGCATGCCTGAAAAATAAAGTATAAATATTGTAAATTTTCCTTCCATCATGAGTGAAAAATAATAGTGCTAGGCTGCAAATATTTGTACACTCTCATATCAATGTTTCAAACAGACAAAATTAAAAATATAGCTTCTAGATTCATTTGACTTCAAACAAAGTGTAAGTTTGAGGGGTTGAGATAGATAATCTGAGCAGGAGCAAAGCTACTAAACATGAAGGTGGGACATAAGAAAGATTGTATACCACATCCTGTCTAGGACACTTTGTAGTTCAAACAGTACTCCTGTATCAGTTTAAGGCCTTCATCTGTCACCAAAATTACCAGTATGTGATTGTCTAATACAATTCTACTTGGTGGAGGAACAATGGGAGAAATTGGCTCTGACACAATACAAGCATTTGGCATGGCAGGCACAAGTGTAGCTGCTGGTGTGCCTGTAGGTGTCAACAAGTTGAGAACCACATAAACCAACCTGATGTTTCTGGAGGAATGGAGCCCCTGCCTGCCCAAAGAAGATATATTCCAGCTTCATACGGAAGTCTACAACAGAAAATGATAAAGCAAAACATAATGTATAAGTTTTTTATCAATTTTGATGCTGTAAAACCCTGAACACTGATATTTATTTCATTCTATAGTGGTTAATCTTGTTTATATCTTTATTTCAAACAAATAAGACAGTATACAATAAGTAAATAGTAGAAAATCATACATGTGACTACAGAATCATAAATGTGGCTGGATGTTTTATCTTTGCATTTCCATTGAAAGAACAAGTTCTATGTGCTTTAACACAATCAATGCAAACAGTGCAAAAATCTGATTTGTAATGATTTACTTCTAAAATCGTACAGAACTATATTCTTAATTGAATGCAGAACATTTACAAATATTCATAACTGAACTTGTACTAACTGGTGTTGACTGGTGTGAAGAGTAAATCCAGAGAAGTCTTTGGCTCCCCCTAAGTGGTAAAACATTTTTCTAAGAGCCTCCAATAAACTTCCCTTAAACCTAACATAAGTGATCATCAATATCAAATGTGTTTCATGATCTCAAGTGCAATACTTGAATCTGGGTAAGATTATCTATAGTCATCATATTATTTTCAGCCTTTCAAAAGTTAGAAGAAATCAGTATATATCATTCTTTCCAATGGATGAATAGAAATACATGCAAAAGAGAGTTTACATGACATCTCTTTAAGCAGCTTGTCCTAATAGACAAGGCTCAGTGAAATGAACATGCATCACATTCATTCACGATTACATGTACATGTCATTTTACATTCAGTCAGTACTCTGGTGTTCCACTATTGATAAACTTATTGCCAAAAGTACATTTTACATTTAGTAAATTAACAGAATGGGGTTCATATCATGTTTAATAGATTATTCCCACATCAACATTTCTTACACACTGTACATACAGTCCCACCAAAATTACTTAAAATAAATGCTATATGGCTGTATTCTTCATTTAAGTGTGGAATGGAGTATATAGCTGTGGTTAGGTTACCTTTGAAAGGAGTTGCAGATGCATAGTGCACTTGTAACACAAGATATTTGATTCCTGAATCTCCTCCAACACCAATTCCAACATCTATAGTTAAATATGAGCAAAAATGATTATTGGATACAATAATTACATTTATCTCTCAGCAATATTATTTTTCAGTATAGTGCTTTAGTCATATATTTCATTGGTTACTGTTTTGAATCTCTCTCTTCTTGTGTAACTCTATAATGGTAGATTGCTTAAAATAAACTTGATTTTCAAAGTGGTTGGTATCTCCAAGAAACAATGCTTTTGTTATATTTTTGAGTTGCAGGTTCAGTTTTAAGTTTGAAAACCACAAGCTCATTTAGTTCTGGTACAAACTCATTCACCACTACTCACTACTTAGAGGGGCTACATCTTTCATCTGATTCTATAATAAAGCAAATGTGATTAATGCTTCATGGATGTAATTGATTCACTTAAAAATCCCCAAAGGTTCCCAACACATTCTGTTAATTCATTTGCTACCATCTGTGTACAATTTACTGCTAACCTTTGGGTAAGTTTCTAGAGGGTGCATCCTTTGCCCAAGCATAAAGAATGTTCTGTTCACCATTACAGGGTCCCCTTTGACAATTCCTGGCATGAAATGTACAAATACTGTTCAAACATTTGAATTTTCCAACTAGTGTGGGATGAGATGAGTGTTAATCACTGATTGCATGCTAAATAGTATTTTTGGCATTCAACTACATGTATACCCACTATATTGATTTTTTGACACATGTATACTAATGTATATGTGATAGTATAGGTGGTTTTAGAAATAAATTGTTCTTTGAGGTAGATCCTTTCCAAACTGTCAAAGGATTTTTCTAATTGTTTAGGAAATTATTTTCTCCTACAGAATCTGAGAGTTCATCAAATATTCAAAGGCTACAACAAGTAAGTGCACATTAGGTTAGAGCAACAGCCTACTTTAACCTGTTACCTTGTAATAACACTAAGTTATAAATGACTGGAATACTTGTATGCAGTCTAACTATTTGTCACAATGTTTGAGAATGATATACTTTACATTAATAACCTGCAAGAGATCCCTTGAAAACATTGTATGATTACTGTTGTAAACAATTACTACCAGTAACTTTCATTATTATCCAACTGCACAAAGTGGAGTACAAATAAGGTGCAAATAGTTGTGTGGACAGTTAGTTATTTTGCTATGTAAAAAAACCTGTTAAACCAGTTGGCTACGCATGCTATGCTTCTCTATCTGCTTTGCTTTTCCAGCCTTATGAAAAATGAGCAGGAATACTTTGCGAAAAAAAAAGCACTTGGATAATAAATAACTCATTTAATGTTTTGGTGCGTAGTATTAATGAGTATTTTTACTAGTTGTTTGTATTTTGACTTGCCCTATGGGCTCATCAAAATACTTGGCAATACTACACACTAAAATGTGCATTAAGATAGATGTAACTTGATTTTATTATCATTAAGACTGTATTTCTTTTGTTCCCCTTTGGGAGGCCATTCTGAGAGTAAGTCCACCAGTCTTTGATCAAGGGAGACTATGGCCAAATATGATGCAATTCTGGACCAACTGAAGTACATACATACACCTCCATAATCACCTGATCAATCACCGACATTAATCAAACTCACCAGCTAGAAAGTTGGGCTCCTGGTGACCTACAACCATACAGCAACATGTGATGTGCTGTCTGCTGAGTTGCATTTGGTTCTAATCGAACTAAAAAACAGTGACAAAAAACCATGATTATTGTTTTATCAGTTCATTCAATTAATCCAATGACAAGTGATTCAATTGATTGAATTCAATTAATTGAATCTTGTCATAGACTTTATTATATCTCTGAGTTACTTGTACACTATGATTGGTCAATTTAGTGGGCCTAATTTCTCTGTGCGGCATGCTAAAACTCAGTTAGTAAGAGGTGTATGTAGACATGTGAAGTAAGGAATATCAATAATAATAATAACAAAAACGAAATGTGCAAACAAAATTATTAAGTTGAACTACAACTCTAGGCATGTTCATGTAAAAAAAATGAAACTAGAAGAGCTGGACAAATGGTAATGAAATTAATTTCATTTCATCTGCTCATTGAAAATCAAATAAAGCCATGATCTTCACAGGTGAGCTGCCATTTTAGCAATTGCACAAAAAAGCTTGAAAAAATGTCTTATTTGGCACAGGCATTGACAGAACAAATTAAAAGAAAACTGTTTCTAGAGGATATAACAATAACTTGTCTCAACTTTACACTAATATGCTGCTTTCAGAAGCTGAAATGATGATGTTTGTGTCATTTGTATAAGTTGAAATCTATCTGCCTTGTGCATAACATTTTTTAATGTAAAAAGACAGGCACCTACATACATGTTTATGATCAATCAAATGTTTTTGTTCAAGCCTCATTGGTCTAAATGTATCACATAACCAAATATCCCCCATAATCTCAAGATATCAACCAAATGATATTAAATTTATCTCAAGATAAGAGAGCATTTTATAGCAGTCACAGAAGAGAAATATTTATTTGTTCATAAAGTTGTACCAGAGAACACTCATCCCAAGCACCAAAACTGTTAATAAACATTTTTTTTGCGTGTTGCAAAATATTTTAAGGATAGCACATTCAAAAGCTTCTGTTTTCCACTAAAATATACCCATATATTTGTCCTTGGACATTTTCTGTTCCCTGAAGCTCACAGCTTTCTTTAAGCTTTGCTCTCAGAAAAACATCAGCAACTTGGAACAGATGATGTTCTCGGACAAATCTGTACATATTCTCTTGCCAAATAGACAACACAATTTATACATGTGTATAAATTGTTTTGTCTCACCCAAACCATACTCTGAATTTTTCAACCTTTGTGGACATTTTTTCTTTTACAAAATAGTGCCTTTAGAACATACAAAGATATATATCTTTTTCCATAATAATACCTTTAGAACATAGCAAAATAAAGGTAATTCTGTAGTTCCAATAAACCCAGCAGGTTTTATCCGGTGTGATGTTTGTAGATAAATAATCTTTTAATCTGTACAAAATATATCTTGGGTATATTACTTACCTATATACTGCTTCAAAGGTGGCAGCTGTAAAGCCGTACAAAGATATGTATCTTTCTGTAAGAGATAGGGTTACCATTTTTAGAAATGTTAAAAGGGTTACTCAGATGTCAGAGAGATCTGTCTTACAAAGGAAATACTGAAATACTAAGTTTTCCCTTTATATAACAGAGTAAATGAGAGTTTTCAAGGTGGTTTCATGTGATTTATCACAAAACACATTTCAATGTCAATATTGCAGATCCCAAAAACCAAGAATGAACTAGTGGATATTCTACCGTAGTATAATGTAAATCGACTGATTTAGCAGATACATTTTCTTGTAGAACTTTCTTTCAATTACCTTATGAGACATGCAATAAATGGAGGGAGGACCTGATCAGCTTTTTGCTTCAGCTACCACTTTTCACCAAACCAAGAATGGTAGCCCAAGAGGGAAGTTTACTGTATTTTATTGGTTAACATAACACATAAAGAGGTCACATCAGACAGAAGAGTGCCACAACAGTATATTAACTAAACAAAAAAATAAAGGCTATTAAAAAAAAAACAGATTTGAGATTGCTGACACATATATTTTATAGCTCTTGCAAATATTGACCAAAGAACCCTCCTTCAACTCTACATGTAATCAATGAATCACCTCTAGCTATAGCAAAGAAAACAGGAGATGACAAGGGACAACCTGGCCAACTAGAGAGCAACATCTTGATACAACACCAATTGAAAGTCTCTTAACTTATTTATAAGGAAACATATAACAGTTTTGTAGGAGAGAACTGCAATCCCTTTCCTAAACCTTGCATTCTCACAACTTCACCTGTCCTCCGAAAAACACAAGCATGAATTCTTTTGTAACAGATTTCACCACCAAATGTACAAAAGTTTTACCCTTAGTACCTTAAACATTTGATGAACATTTGAAATGACATGGGCCTCCAACTAAATTTTTGCACTTCATTTTCAATATACTCTTTGCCTCAATAACTCAAAAGATGCTATAAACCACCAAAAACATCAAACCAAGGTGCTACATGTAGCGGCATGTAATCTTAAAACTCAGTGCCTAACAAAGACCAGCATTATAGGAGTGACTGGGAGTCAAACTGCCACCATTTATCACATAAAATGAAAGCTAAGTTGTAGTAAAACAGTCAAGTTACTTAACCTGAAGAAGGTATTTTGAAGCGAATTTGAAATGCATTTCGAGCAATTTCAGCCCTAATCAAAACTATAACAAAATTCTTGAAGGTGATTAGTTGTCACCAGCCTGATTTGAGCACTAATAGGACAGTGTATGCATCATGCTTGTAATTGGACAGTGTAATAGGACAGTTAAAGGGACAGTTAACTAGTCATGCCTATGTAAGTGGAGAATAGAATGCGTCATGAGTGGGCGCTGTTGTCTCACATTTAGCTGAGTTAACTGTTGATAATTTTATGAATATATACAATTGATGTCAGTAGTTTCTTTCAAATTTTGTCATTAATTTTTATTAATTGGTAGCAGGACTTTTTGTCGTCCAATTTTGTCAATAATCATACTCAAGATTAACAAATCAGACTCCCTCTTTGTGATTGTCTGATTTTGTTAATCACTCGTATGATTACAGACTGAACTGGACTCCACTCGGTCCTATTACCATTATATGTTAACTCATTGATCGTTACCACAGCATTGAGGTAATTTATCAGCAAAAATTTACTTTCACGAAATCACCAGTGGCAATTTGACTCTCAGCAGTGGCGAGTTTGGTGTTGGCAAATTAACTGCATACCCCAGTGGAAACGTTGCGACTAATCCTCCATTTTATTAGACTTTCTATTTGACTAATTCATACTTTCGAACTCACAGAAGTTGACGTTAAAATTTAGATCTAGGTAGTCGACAATGAATCGTATTAGCTCAAATAAATAAACGTATTACAATAACTACAAACCGGGAGAATGGGCTCCAAAGATTTAAGAAAATTGAAAAACTGAAAAAGCAATGGAACATTTTCAGTGCGAAATAGAGTTTTATAAAACATTTCAGAAGCTTAAAGCGACATCGGACATTCTTGATCCCGGGTTCTATAATTTTACAGTTGACATACAAGCTTTCATGCATACCAAATTACGTACTGGACAGAGTAAAGGTTAAAGTAAAGTGATCCTTCGTTTCCAAACTTTTTTATTATTAGTACGCAATTTTAAGTTTTCAATGCAACCCAAAACAAAGTAATCATCGTATTACTTAGCAAAATACCGTTTCAAGAAGAGGAAATGAGAAAAGTACGAGGCTATCCTCTCGGTAGCGATGGTGCCACTGATGCTTAACGAAAAGCTGTAAGTCAAAATTACAACCTATTTAACGTAAAGTAAAATCAGTTCAGTTACACATCTTGTAAATCAGAAGAACGTTACCTTTAGTGGACGAGTGCCTGGCATCTTAATATTTATAGTTCCTTCATACTTGACGGAACCTTCGGACACAGTTTTTACTTCATTGCTGCACAACACTTCGTTTAGGCACACCACAGAATACAAAATGGCCAAGATCTTACTCTTGTGAAAGCAAGCCATGACGAAAACCTTTCTGAATCAATGACACCATATATCAAGTAATGAAGGTGAACAAAATTACGTTAACATATCATGACGTATCTGACTGAGAAAGACCACAGATCGATTCCCTCACTTTGAGCTAAGTTATGCTAATGCAAGCTAATACATACGTCAATACTTGCATATTGAATTTTTTCCCATAGTTCCCATCAAGCGTAATCAAATGAGTGAGAATTTAACAAAGTCATCACTTTCACACAGGTCAGAGAGCCTCCGGGGAAATCACCTTTCCCTTATCATTGAAATAGCCATCGCCGGTCCTTTCTTTCTACAAGCTTTCGATGAATATGGAACAAAACGATGATTTTGAGGAGTACAACTACGACGACAGCCTTCATTCAACCGGTCATTCACGCAAAGGGAAAACGAAGAAGGAGGCGGGACAAAATAAGAATCCAGTTGAACATGGCCGAGGTTACGCTGAAAGAAATGTTGTGGATAACATTCAGCATGGAGAACAGAAAAGGAAGGAGGCACCACAAAAACTTCCGAAAGGAAAATAATGAAAGTATTTTATAAGATTTCACTGGATGAAAAGTTTGGTCTAAAGATGAAAATATTGGATAATTTTACGGATGTTCTACTCGATAACGATTTGTAGACGATAAACGGTCTCAGTATTAGTTAAAACAGCTAACGAAAAACTCGATGGAGTGAAAAGTTGTGGATTGTGCTCAAGCAGTGCATTTTCGACAGAGAGAGAAAGAAACTGATAGCTCAGAGAAAGCGCTCAATTGTCTATGATGGATAGGCCTCCGTAATTTTTTTTCCTTGAACTAGTCTAGGTTTATATTAGCGACCTTGAACGTAGTCATAACTGTGAGTCTGCTTAATCTGTATGTATTTTAGATGGTATATTTTGACTATGAAATTCATGCATATTGATCTATGACATGATAATATTCATAATAATAGTAATGATATAAATAATAATGATAACTAATAACCTATGTAGGGTAGGTATCAATTGGGGTTTTTCCATCTGCACTTTACAACGGGCCCCACTGTGGTGATAATTGACTCACCAACTACAACTTGAATAGAGCAATTATCAATTGAATGTCCTTAGTAATCAAGGATTATATTGGTTTTACTATTCTGCACTCTGTGATTTGACTTGAAAACTAGTGCCATCCTCTCAACAATTTTTGCTTCCTATTTTCCTACATTTTGAGTGGTTTACTTACACTTAACTGTAATTCTTAATGGTTTGTTGCGATATTTTCCTTTCCTCTGATTGGCTGTTGTGATTACTTTGGCTTTAAATTTATGACACCTGATCAAAATATGTTCTGTTAGCATTACCTTGGTTACCATCCAAATTAGTTACTATAAGGCTGGAGGTGTTGACAAATTCAAAATCTTGAGACATTTTTGGTGCTATCAAACAGAAAAATAACTAGGAAGGAAGTTGCAAAGTCACTTCACTGCAGGAAAGCCAATCATGTGGATTGCAAGAAAAAGCTACTTGCCATTTTACATTTCGTTGCACCCCTTCATGATTCAGTTGGAAATGGAAAAATCTTTTTTTCAGAGGCTACAATAAGAAGCTCCTTGCCAGTGTTTTGCCATACTTTTGAACCTTGCTTAGGGCAGTTTTGTTGGAAGCTTACTCCTGATCATTGGAAGATGTTGCTTTGGCCATGAATTTTGAAAGGAGTCAATCTTAATCTTTCCTGAACAACAACATTGATGTGATGTGGTTATCATAGGTGACATTGAAGCAAGACTACATTTCTTTTTCAAATTTAGAAGATCAGTGCGGAGACCAGGAAAGCATTTGTACTCTTTGCATTTCTTGCTAATATTGACTAGACATTGTACTCTGGAAACTTTCTCTTATAACTGTTGTATTTTTACTCTACATGGTGGACAATGTTTTCATTTTTAGAGCAAACTAATCCAGGTTGAGTTAATATAATGAGAAAATCAAATTTAAATCAGCATTATTTGTTAATCCATGAATAAAGCTGAAAGCATTTTTGGCCTTAAGATGACATCTTTCAGTTGGGCATACTTCCAAGTGCTCCCAGCAGGACATCTTACCCATCAGGAGTTTAACTGTAGACCCTCTGATTAGTAGTATGGATGCCCTTTGGACCTGTAGCAGAAAATTCAAATGGTTTGACTACTGTGGAATTCCACTGATTTCAGAAAAGCAACTTAACCTATACCCTTTATGGTTTATTTGTGGGAGTAATTGACCTGGCACAGGAAATTCAAAATTTAACCGTATCAAAAGAATTGTTTAGCCCAAAATGTGCCCAACCTGTTTAGAGAAAACATTATTTGAAGTAGTGCATAGCAGAAGATGTCAGTGAGCCTCTTCAATAGCTCAATGTTCTTCATGAGTTCAGCATTCTGGACTTTGAAAAAAAACCTCACCACAGAGCATAAATCATCAATTTGTCCCTTGTTTGGATTCATTTGGGTAGTTTGGATGTGAATCTATCAAGATAGAAGACAACCAAGGTATTATGACAGCCCAATGATCTGTGGTGAAATAAATCAAATTTCCACAGTTTACCTGATCAAGGTTAGTGAAATATTTTTTAGCCAAGTTACAGACTATAATTACTATTTATTTCTTGTTTAAGCCTGTTACAAATAACTTTTTAAACTATATTGTATCATTTAAATTGGCTTCCATAACCAGATTAGTAAATGATCCAGTTAATTGCATTGAGTAATTATTAAATTTGTAAGATGGGAACACAGCTTATGTCACTCACCAAATCTAGTTGCAGTTCTGCACACAGTAACAGCTGAATTAATTTCTTGAATTTGAGACTAAAGTTGCCAGTAGATGACATTAAGTGCATTCTTCTGTTTTTCTTTTTCTCCTATTGCTTTTATCACCATTACTATTTGGTAAAAGTCTCAAGTAAACTCATAAAAAATAAATCATTTCTCTTTAAAAACAACAGACAACCCCAGATGAGAAATGTTTGCCTTTACTTGGAAAATGTTTCCTAAAAGAGAACTCTACCTAGGATTCCTTATTTGCCATTGTCATAAAATGCATTCTAAAACTGAATGGTTGCTCTATTTTTATATTTTTTGCAATCTGAATATTTTAATTAAATAACTTGAATATATGCTACTGGGAAGTAGGAGGTACATTATAAATCAGTAAAATGTTGTGAAGGTACATGATTGAGTCATGCTGATTAAAATTATTCTTATTTTGCAGCAGTAAGTTCATTACCAAGAACATATGAATTTTGTTAATTTAAAACTCCATATTTCACATACAAATAAATAGGTGCTTCATCCTGTTTCAAGTATGATTATTTCCTTACACATAAAATTTTTCATACCCTTGACAATAAATGTCCTTGATGACAAATGTAATTAGATTAGCAATAAAATACAAGGGAATCATTACTGTATGAAACCTTAAATAACACTGAATGGTGTAGAAAAAAAATTTGGGAAACAAAACTACTATTGTAGCAAATATAGGGTTATCTTGTAAACATTGATAAGTTTCCATTTGCATATTCAGACTAAGAGAATTTAACTTTAAAAAATCACTTGGGAAAACAAACATTTAGTTTGGAAAGGGAGAACATGTCAATTATTGTTGACCATTTAGTTACAATCTGCTAGAATCACAAAACAAAACAAAAACAAGGGTGAAAGTAACACTTAACAATTACTTAATAAATGACAACTTACAATATTTGAATGCCAAGGCCTAACATGTAATGGTTATGTTTAGAATGCTGTACAGCGCATATTTGGAAAATGCTATTAAAATAAGTGCTTTGAGATAAGCTGTTCCACCTCAGTGTTAACTTAAGGTTCTCATTTTATTGATAAGTATGATAGGACAGACTAACAAAACAGAGACTTGCATTAAATGTGAATCTATAAGAAAGAATGATTCTATATGAATCTCTTGGATGAAGTTAGATAAACAGTGACCCACTTCATGTAAATTCCAAGAAAATTATTGCAGGCTTTTCATTTAACATCTGAATTTTTCATATGTTTAAAAACGATTTGGTCCTATGAAAGATGTCACTAATCAAGAAATCGTGCAGCCCTGCCATGTGACTGCTCCACAACACTGACATCTGTCATCAACTGGCCGTGGTGGTATAAGATCTAAGTCCTCTTCATCTGATATTTCATCAAGTCTTAGAGGCAATGACAGGAATTCACTTATGTCAGTGGGTTATTTAAAATTAATCAACTTTTAAAAGCACATATTCTGTAAAATATGTGAGAAATAAACAGAGGCTCTCTTATACAAAAATATTTGCCAGGCTATTATAAAAATCCCTCACACTTCATGTAATTTATCACAACACTCTGCTGCCCTTTCAAGATTGAGTTTTTCAGGAAGTTCAATTTTCTCATACAAAAACTGAAAAGGGAGGAGACAGGAAATGTTTATTATTAGGATTATTGGTTAACATCACTAGCCCAAGGGTCACTCACTGATAACTTCTATTTTAATTCTTTGAATTTTATTCACTGCCATTGACAACACTCCTTTTCAGGACCACTATCACCCAGATGATTACAATACACTATCAACTAAGCCCTCGGTTGTATGTTGTGAACACAGACAATGGAGATCAGGGCCTTTGAGCACACTACAAACTAGCTACCCTAGCTGCTTAAAATGTAGTTCAGTTATCTTGTGCCTGACTTCTTTTTATCACCCAAATAACCAATGACAGTGAAACAACAAGAAATGTTTCTGTTTTTTTCAGCATCCTGAGTTTTCAAGGAAACTTTCCTACACAAAGAAAAACTCAAAAGCCCATTTAAGGGTAACACTGCATGCACCAAGTGGTGAACAAACAGTATCCAGTCAAGTCAGCAATGGTTCAACTCGCCAACGCCAACTTGCCGACATCTAAAATCGGGTAGAGATGTTGGCAAGTTTGTCTTCAATCCAGTACAACTTATTAGAAGTTAAACATATAGAAAAGTAAAAGCAAGGTAAACATCGCCAATGACCAAAAAAGCTTTAGATGCAAATGAGTTATTGTGTCACAACAACACTGTAAAGACTCATCATGTCAATCGGTCAGATTTAAAAAAAAAAACCTGGCTTTCTAGACAAAATATTT